CTGCCTACTCCAGCCTGATCATTGCGCAAGGAAAGATCCGGATAGTATCTGGAAGCAGTGCAAGAAGGCCAAGTGTAAACATGCCTTGTCTTGGACGAAGATCTGATTTTTAATGCCAAGCGTAAACATGGCGTAAATATCAACATCCCACAGAGACCTGGGCCTGTCTCACAAAGCAAGTTTGACTTAGACAGCATGCCTGACTCAGCTTCACTTTCGCAAAACCCAACAAATGAAACCACAGTTAACTCATTTCACTAAGCCAGTTAACAGCTTTCTCCGCCGATGCAGGTTCACTTAACCTCTTCAACTCCTTGAGACCACCGGTGATTCCAAAACACACTTCGTCATATTCTTCATAACTTTCATATTTCATAAGCTACATTCGAAAGGTGGGTGTCATATGAGAGCTGTAACTGTCTTCTTTCCAGTCAAATAGACGGGTGATGTCATTTTAAACCCTTATAATAAAGGAAGCTGAACTCACAATTTTTTGTCTACTGAAAGTCGACCCATTTTTCCACAAATCTGGGCTATAAACTATAAACAGATGGCGTCTCTTCAGTGATCTGCTCTGTAAATAATATTTTTATAAAATAATAATAAAGAGCGTCTAAGATTTTTGGCTTTCAGCAGTAAATTGTAAGCATATAGTAATATGTGTATGATCATAAAACACGTTCTGTTAATTTGAGGGGAACTTTGTACAAAAATTAAATCAATCAAATCAAAATTTCCATTTATTTCATGCAGTTACTGAATAATTTGCCTTATGATTTGGTCACATAAATTCAGATGGAAGAATAAGGCAGTAATAATTCTCATGCACTTACACATCAAGCTTTCATGTGCAAGTTTAATAGACAATAGCATAAAACATGGGGCTTATTTTTCAAAAAAGGAAGAAATCGATGTTAATATGTATGAAATTAAAGCATTAGTCAGTGCATATCTTTGCAGCTCCTCTGCTTAGGAACAAGCAATCTTATTATATTTACATGTTTGAAAAAAAAAAACTGACCAGAGAGGCCCACCTCTGTCAGTCCCTGATTGGTCAGAAGGCTACTCTGATTGGTCAAAGAGCTATTCATGTTCCAAAATCCCAAACTCAACCCATCATGGACAGGTTAGGCGTGCAGCTTAAGTTGCCATGGCGATGTAGCCCAGTAAAAAAGTCAAAAAGCCAAAAGGCAGCTGGTTAAGCAAGAAATCCTGCTTTGTGAGACAGACCCCTGGTATAGCAAAGTTTCTTTGGATCCATTCATGAAAATTTAATAGTAATGCTAAAAATATTAGAACTTCTAAATTTCATGTCTCTTTTGAAGTTAATGTCATTTGGTCATTTACATCTAGAGGTCTACTGCATAAACCTCCATATCTTTCTTTAGCAGCACAAAGAGGAAATTTCTGCATGATTCAATCGAGATGGAGTCATTCAGAGTTGGTCGGTGAGAAATGCTCTGCTCTTGAGTAATGTACTGAGTCAAACTTGTTCACAGTGGCAAGGGATAGGAACCAGGCATCCTCCTCTAAAAGCTCCCTCACAGAACGTTATTAAATGATGTGGCTATAAATTCACTGCCTGATGCCTTAGACATTGTTTTATGATAGTTTTGAGAAGGGTTTGGCATTAAATGTGTTTTTTTTTATCAATTCATAGTGGAGGGGTACACGCAGGGTCTTGAATAAATGGGGCAAAAAGTCCCCAATGAAAGTGTCCAAATTTTACCATCACCAACATTACATATAAAAACTCAGAAGACTTGTGTAGGTTCACTGCTGTTTTTGGACAGGAAATAAAATGGCTATATTTGTGTTGCAGACATTGTGACGTCTGGTTCCCATCACCACCACTGTAAAGAAATGAGTCTCTATGATGAGCCATTTCACACCAAACCACTCTGAATGACCCTGTTAACATCTAAATGATTTACTGTCTAAGCTGTACATCAGAGTTAAAAATTGCAAGACAGCATTTTAGTCTGATCTATGCAACAGTTCAGAGCTGCTGCTTCGATGAGTCATCTGTAAATAAGGGAACTTTGACTCTTACAAAACAACAGTAATGTTAAAAAAAGACACTTCCATTTATAAGACTAATACTAGATTAAAGGCCAGGGTCACTGCTTTTCTTGGGGTTAAATCTCAGCCCACGCCTGCCCGAACTCTGTATATCATACAGAGACAAGATATTTAGTCTTCTATTCCACTCAACAGTGCAGAGCTGCTCTTTCAATGACTCAGCGGCAGTGAACGTGGGGACATTTAAATCTGTGTTGAAACTCGTCTGAGATTCTGTCTCGGGTTGAATGAACACACATTCTGCAACTTGGACCAAATGGCTGGCTGATTTACAAAGAACAACTAAAAAAAAAGCTCTCAAACCGTGGGCTATTACGAGAACGATTAGTTGGCTGTTGCAAAAAATACACCTACAGACAGAATGAAAGAAATGATGTATATAGTGTGTAATACATATTTCCAGGACAATAGTGACTAAATCTTTCATTAACAATGAGTTTGTGCCGAGCCTCGACAACACATGTATATAAGGGACATTCAGCGATGACCAGTGTGATGATGAAATGTTCCGGCAAAATGTGTTTCTATTTTTTCCTCCAGTCATGTGGTCATATGGTCGTTCAACTGAATTCCTTTGTAATTCCACTTATAAATGATAGAATTCATTTTGGTTAATTTACAGTACTGTATAAAAGTCAGAGATCACCCTTCAACTGATTAATGTCCAGTCAAAAAAGCACAGCTTTTTCATTTTTCAGGAGATATTTCTGGAGATCAGATATAAGATGATCCACTTGCGTGAGGGCAAAGTCAAAGGAAAGTAAAGGGGTTTCCAAAAGAGTTCAGAGAAAGTGAGACTCCTAACAACCACCTGCAAAGCCCGGTAGACCACCAAAACTGTCCCCATCAGATAAACAGCACGTAAGGCTTTCGTCTTTGAGGGAGAGGAGAAAATCAAGCTGCTTCAGATCTGAAAACATCCCCAGCCACCCTTGGACTGACCACCCCAGAATCCAGGCCTCAACATCACTAAGGGTGTTTGATTATTTGGATTGTGAGAAGCAGAAAACGCAACCAATGTCTAAAACTGAACTTTGGAGGTTCCTGCAAAATTTCTTTGAAGAACTGAAAGTGAGTCTCCTGAAAAGAATGGAAGCTGTAATAAAGGTAAACAGGGAACACAAAAAATCCTGAAAAAGTGACATTATATTCAGTTGTTGTGTCATTTTCTGCCAAATTTACGGTTTCAGACTTTTTTCCTGATACTGAAAAAAAACTAGTATTTAATGGCTGTTTTGTACGACAGTGTTTTAGGGCCACTGTTAATAAAAAAAAAAATAGTTGACAAAAAAAAAATTGGTAATATTTCAAGAATAAAGTCGTAATATTTGAAGGATAAAGTGGGCTAACTGTAGAGGGGCTGCTATAACGTGTTGGGGTCTCGGTTGCTGTACTGGCGTGCCAGAGTTTCAGTCGTTTCTTATACTAAAAACAGGCTGGTGCTGATGTGCAGAAGAGTCAGGGAGAAAGTGTTTCTTTATGGGTGAAATCGATATGAAAGTATAACTCCACCAACTCAACGCCCCTCATTTAACACAGGGAGGTGCTGCCTTCCCTTTACAAAGCCTTTGGCCACAATTTTGTAACATTTCCTGGTATTAATGCCACTCCAAATATTATGACTTTTTTTCTCGAAATATTATGACTTTATTCTCGAAATATCATATTGTGCAACTTTTTTCTATAAATATTACGACTCTATTCTCGAAGTCTACTATTTTTATTTTTATTAACAGTGGCCCTAAAACGCCGTTGTAGTTCTGACTTGAAATCAAAACAAATAAAAGTTAGTTTCTGACTTTTGCACAGTACTGTATAGTAAATGAATAGGTTTGGGAATGAGACTGAAAACAAAGCGTTTCCAAATGGCGTGGTCTGAAAATCTTTGTTAAATCTGAGATTTATTATAAAAGACACTACACTCAGATAATCTTGGTTAAAGCAGAACTAATGGCCCTGTAATTTGAGTATGCTCTAAATGTATTGCTCTGAATGTAAGATACTTTGCTAAGCTGGTAAACTGCAACACAGAGGCCCACTGGAACCTGAAAGAAGACAATTTGGTGGTACTAAGAATGTAACAACTACCATGTCATATTACATACATAGCCTTTTTATATAGCAGTGTCCAAATAACCAAATTTAAAAGGCATTAATGACCAATAATGTGAAAAGCATGTTCTAGACTCTAGGGCCCAATCCCATTTCACCCAGTACCCCTACTACTTAGCCCTTAGCCCTGCTCGTTCACGTCTAGTGGTAGGGTGTCCTGATTCTTGTTGAGATAGAGGGGTAGGGTGAAGTGTTAGGACTACATGACCCTTTAGCAGTGGGCGATAATAAATAATTGCCCCCCCCCCTTGAAGGCATATGAGTCCCTAAATGTAACTAAAGCCCAGCAGTGAGGAGCTGAACTTTACCCTCCTCTGCTGTCACTGCAGACTGGCAGGGTCGCCTACAGAGCAGCGCTAGTAGCCTCTTAATGAAGTAATGCTCTTTTTTATTTGAGGGTCCCATTTCATAGGGGAAGATTTCAACCGCTACCCCTTGGAACTCAGGCAAGGTGGCACTCAAAAACAAGGAGCAGGGATCAAAATAAGAAATGGGATTGGGCCTAGTTTCCAATTTTACTGTTTTCAACTAAAATACTGATCATTTATACTTAAATGTGCTGGCAACAAAAATGGACATGTGACGTGACGGGGAGGGGCAGTTCAAACAGGAAGTGACCTGTGATTTGATGTATTTAAATATGTAGATGTAAATTGTGTAAATGAGGCCAAACTTTTACCCTCTGAACAAGATACAGAAGTAAGTGCAGGATTTTCAAACCAACTTGGGCTTAATGATTAAAGCAAGATGCTTTAAATAATACAGTAAGATTAAAAGTTTGAATTAATAATAATAATAATAATAACAATAATAATAATAATAATAATTAATTATAACTATAATAAGTGCATTCATTTCATTAGTCTTGCTAAACATGTGAGTGAGAATCAACCGAAAACTGTTAATAACAGATTTGAAACTGACTGTCTAAACAAAAACATACACATAATTATCACGTCAGTGAAACAGTAGTCCACAAAAAGTGGTTTTGGTTTATATGTAAGCTGTAAAATAATAAAAGAGGTGTGGCTTTTGTGTGGTGTTTGGCTAAAGCAGGTTATTCTTCAACAAACAATTGGTCCACAGCAAAACTCTTCATGGTGAGCTGTGATTGGTCGACACATGATCATATATTGCTGAAGCTTTGTGGTGCAGTCTGAAGGACAAAAAGTGTTTGCAGGTTATTCAAACATCACTAATGAACAACTTCAATCTGTCCTGTCTTTACTTTTCCCCCGTTTACACCTGGGCATTTGATGTGACTTGAATCTGGATTACTACCCAACAAGATTGTACATGCATTTATCAAATGTGTCACCAAAATCTATTTTATGGTGGGATTTAAAGAGACCACAAAGTGTATTGCGATCAGAATGAACCTGCTGAAAACTGTTGCCTTCGTGTCCTTTGGTAAACAAAACTGTTCCAAACCTAATACCACACAATTTTTTCCTCAGAATGTCACTGGATTATCTGAATTACTTGGTCATTTCACCATGCACACTAATGCTGCCGTGCATCGAATTGACATCAAGACTGGCAAGCTCAACAAAATAGCCCACGCAAACCAGCGAGGTTTGTCAAACGTGGTAGTTAAGCTGCCTTGGCAGTAGTAGAGCACGGTTTAAGTAGCTGGTGTTGGTATATAACACTGTTTAAGTTTAATACTAGACTTATTTTCATGCCCTTGGTTGAATGTATGCAGTATTATTCATATTTCAACTGATAAACAACCTCATAGTTCAGAGGATTCAGTGACATTCGGGTTGAAAATATTCACAAGACAAAATGTATCTGGTTTGTAACATTTTTGTTCACCAACAGCTGCAATTTTTGAGAAAGCCTTGCATTTCTCCCATAAAGAAAACTGCTAGACCCAGAGTTCCTAATATGGGCATGATGCCGACCACCCAGTACTGCATGACTTCAGTCATCTATAAGGCTGTTTCTCATATCCGATGTTTCAGATTTCAAGTTACAGGTGACCAAAGCTGATTTGTGTGGTCAGACTGAAGTTGCATCCACATTAGTGGCCATAGTAATGAACGATGCAAACGAGCATACTCTCGCTAGGCAGGGACCAGCCTTAGATAACTAGGAAGTACAATGATCATGATATGTTTTAGAACAGAGCTTTGTTTTTTTCTTAACTACAGCATGCACAGAATGTGGCATTAGTGGACACTGGTCTGGTCAACAGACTGCAAACAAGCTATAGGCCATAACAATAATATCCAGAGACCAGCTTTAAGTTTAAAGCTTTTAATAAAGCAGACGTCTGTTAAAAGTTTCTACTCTCTGCTTTCAAGCTGTAATATGTGAATGTGCAGCTCTGACTTTCTTATCATACATTTTGGTGTCATGAAACGCCACGCACATGAAACAGCACATAAAATCTAATCTAAACCTGTGACGTATCTAAAAATCCGATCAGAATCAGATCTGAAACCACCTACAAATGTGGCTTGAATCTGAAATAAGTCAGATTTAATGTCGCTTTCTGCTGTTCAGACTGCAGGAAATCTGTCCTGCTTAAATCGGATTTGAGATGCCTGTCTGAACAAGTCTAATACGGAGCAATATAATCACAACGCTAGCATTTTGTCTATATCATGCAGCCCTAGTCTAAATGGGTTTGTATGTGACTGTGTATGCATATATGTATGTTCCTTACCACAGCCAAGTGTCCATTTTTGGTCTTCACCACTCTTAGCTCTGCCCCATAGGTGAAGTCAATCACCCCCTCTTTGCCCCTCGCTATTGCAAACGTAATACTGAGAGAGAAAGAGAGAGAGAGAGAGAGAGAGAGCGAGAGAGAGAGAGAGTCGAATTTCCCTCTTTGTCTTTCAATTAGGAATGTCACAATACAATGCATCATATTATACAGAACTGTACCATATTGCATCACTGTGTTGTGACTAACATGTGTTATTTTGGGGCTTTTAAATGCTCTTACTCAGTAGTGAACTGTAGTTAATGCACTGTATATACATTAGCTTGTGGGTAAAGCATTAGGACACAACAAAGCACAGCTTTTGTTTGAAGTACTGTATCTGTATACTGTTGAATGCTCTAATAAATGGAAGACGAAAACTTCAACATATTAATGTGAGGCACACGTTCAAAACCACTGTTTATTTCTGTTGTACTGTAAAGTGTGTCGAAGTGAATCGAGATCATTGTATCGCATTGAATAATAATAATTGAAGTAATAAATGTTGAATTGTTCCACCCTCACTTTCAATCCGAACCCGAACACAAACACATACCTGTCCTGACTGATGTTGACGTTGTGTATCTTGTCTGCCATGATGGCGAGTTTGGAGACAGCCTCGATCACATGATCACACTGCAGCACCAGGTCGCCCTAAACGTAAAAAGGTCAGAAAGTCATAAGCTGCCAGCACCGTCACAGTGAGCAACAGATCAACCTTCCTCACCTTCTGCTTACTGTCAGTAGTGGGCACGTGCAGAACGAAGAAGCCGTCGCTGAGGGAACTGACAGAGATACCTACAGTGAGAGAGAGAGAGAGAGACAGAGAGAGACAGAGACAGAGAGAGAGACAGAGAGAGAGACAGCAATACAAAATCAAGTTAGTTAACAGGGAAATTACTTGATTGACAAGTGAATACCACTGACACCCGCAAATCACAAGACTAACACAAGAGTGAGTAACGTATGATTAAGAGAACAACAATTATCAAGATCATATGACAGCATTTTCCCTGAGATAAAGAATTGACATGCATATGACATCACTCCCAACAACATAGCAGTTTCAGGGTGTCTAGTTGGGTCAGTTGGGTGATTTCCTTGGTCACACCTAATCCAAATCAGCAGTTAGTTACATGGAACAGTAGGTGTGATAGAGCAGTAAAATCACCAAACTGTTCTTGAGGCCCCAACAAACATTGCAACACCCCTCCTGTAGCCACATAGTCAGTACTCTGTGTTTTACGCTAAAAGCTCTTACTCTGTACACTGTTTGCTACATGCTAAACACTCTTAGTAGTGAACTGTAGTCTGTACACTGTTTGCTATATGCTAAACACTCTTAGTAGTGAACTGTAGTCTGTACACTGTTTGCTATTTGCTAAATGCTCTTACTCAGTAGTGAACTGTAGTCTGTACACTGTTTGCTATTTGCTAAACACTCTTACTCAGTAGTGAACTGTAGTCTGTACACTGTTTGCTATATGCTAAACACTCTTAGTAGTGAACTGTAGTCTGTACACTGTTTGCTATTTGCTAAATGCTCTTACTCAGTAGTGAACTGTAGTCTGTACACTGTTTGCTATATGCTGAACACTCTCACTCAATAGTGAACTGTAGTCAAAACACTGTTTGCTGTATGCTAAAAGCTCTTACTCAGTAGTGAACTGTAGTCAGTACACTGCAATATGCTAAATGCTCCTACTCAGTAGTGAACTGTAGTCTGTACACTGCTTTGCTACTATGCTAAACACTCTTAGTAGTGAACTGTAGTCTGTACACTGTTTGCTATTTGCTAAATGCTCTTACTCAGTAGTGAACTGTAGTCTGTACACTGTTTGCTATTTGCTAAATGCTCTTACCCAGTAGTGAACTGTAGTCTGTACACTGTTTGCTATATGCTAAACGCTCTTAGTAGTGAACTGTAGTCTGTACACTGTTTGCTATTTGCTAAATGCTCTTACCCAGTAGTGAACTGTAGTCTGTACACTGTTTGCTACATGCTAAATGCTCTTACTCAGTAGTGAACTGTAGTCTGTACACTGTTTGCTATTTGCTAAATGCTCTTACTCAGTAGTGAACTGTAGTCTGTACACTGTTTGCTATTTGCTAAATGCTCTTACTCAGTAGTGAACTGTAGTCTGTACACTGTTTGCTATTTGCTAAATGCTCTTACTCAGTAGTGAACTGTAGTCTGTACACTGTTTGCTATTTGCTAAATGCTCTTACTCAGTAGTGAACTGTAGTGAGTACACTGTTTGCTAAATGCTCTTACTCAGTAGTGAACTGCAATCAATATGCTGCTATATGCTAAATGCTCTTAGTAGTGAACTGTAGTCTGTACACTGTTTGCTATATGCTAAACACTCTTAGTAGTGAACTATAGTCTGTACACTGTTTGCTATTTGCTAAATGCTCTTACTCAGTAGTGAACTGTAGTCTGTACACTGTTTGCTAAATGCTAAATGCTCTTACTCAGTAGTGAACTGTAGTGAGTACACTGTTTGCTAAATGCTAAATGCTCTTAGTAGTGAACTGCAGTCTGTACACTTTTCGCTATATGCAAAATGCTCTTACCCAGTAGTGAACTGTAGTCAGTACACTGCTATATGCTAAAAGCTCTTACTCAGTAGTGAACTGCAGTCAGTACACTGCTATATGCTAAAAGCTCTTACTCAGTAGTGAACTGCAGTCAGTACACTGCTATATGCTAAAAGCTCTTACTCAGTAGTGAACTGCAGTCAGTACACTGCTATATGCTAAAAGCTCTTACTCAGTAGTGAACTGTAGTCAGTACACTGTTTGCTATATGCTAAAAGCTCTTACTCAGTAGTGAACTGTAGTCAGTACACTGCTATATGCTAAAAGCTCTTAGTAGTGAACTGTAGTCAGTACACTGCTATATGCTAAAAGCTCTTACTCAGTAGTGAACTGTAGTCAGTACACTGTTTGCTATATGCTAAACACTCTTAGTAGTGAACTATAGTCTGTACACTGTTTGCTATTTGCTAAATGCTCTTACTCAGTAGTGAACTGTAGTCTGTACACTGCTATATGCTAAAAGCTCTTACTCAGTAGTGAACTGTAGTCTGTACACTGTTTGCTATATGCTAAACACTCTTAGTAGTGAACTATAGTCTGTACACTGTTTGCTAAATGCTAAATGCTCTTACTCAGTAGTGAACCGTAGTGAGTACACTGTTTGCTAAATGCTAAATGCTCTTAGTAGTGAACTGCAGTCTGTACACTTTTCGCTATATGCAAAATGCTCTTACCCAGTAGTGAACTGTAGTCAGTACACTGCTATATGCTAAAAGCTCTTACTCAGTAGTGAACTGCAGTCAGTACACTGCTATATGCTAAAAGCTCTTACTCAGTAGTGAACTGCAGTCAGTACACTGCTATATGCTAAAAGCTCTTAGTAGTGAACTGTAGTCAATACACTGTTTGCTATATGCTAAAAGCTCTTACTCAGTAGTGAACTGTAGTCAGTACACTGCTATATGCTAAAAGCTCTTAGTAGTGAACTGTAGTCAGTACACTGCTATATGCTAAAAGCTCTTACTCAGTAGTGAACTGTAGTCAGTACACTGCTATATGCTAAATGCTCTTACCCAGTAGTGAACTGTAGTCGATACGCTGCTTAATTTTGGACTCCTGAACCAGAATCACCCCAGAGCCCATCAGCAGCAGCTGCCGTGGCCGTGCACGGAAACCATGACGATCGTACTTAGTGACCGTCACACCGTACTAATCGAAAGAGACAGAAATAATGTTTATCTACTTACTATTAAACTCAACACTCATTTCAGGTTCTAACACAATTGGTTCTGCACTGTAGCTACAATGTTTAATCTTTTCTTTAAATTACATGTGAGAGGGCTCTCAACTGGCACGTCCTCAATTTAAACACTTTTTTATAGTTAATTTGAAAGAATGTCTTTGCACATTCATGCACACCCCTATTATTCCAATGGTCAGATTACTGACTGAAGTGATACAGCAATGAGAAGGACCCTTGACCAAACCCAGGTCCTTAATCATTGCAACACGTACATACATGCTTACCTTCACCTTGTTATCACTTCCGAGAGTTTGCCGCACCTTGAGATTAATCTCTTCGTTCTCTGTGTGGAGTGTTACAGATAGTGTGAGACAGAGAGCGTGTGTAGATACTATTGTAAGTATATAATATAATATAGTACAGTGTTGCTGTTAGAACAAACTTTTATATCTTTAGCATGTTTCAGTAGTACAGTTCTCCTCTGGGTAGGCATCTGATTTATAAGCCTATATCAAGTGAAGTATGCTGACAGTTGTGCCAGTAAGCAGTCAGATGCAAGGTAAGCTATTGCATTTTTTTTAAAAGTTAGTGATTTTGTTACGGTAAGGGGAAGTGTTCAGTTTTACAGCTTATCTACAGTGAATGAGTGGTGTTAATGTTCACTACTGTGACGTCTCTGGGACTGAGAGATATCGCAATAGTGGAAACCACTGACTAGTCGATTTCTTTGTAGCTATGCTGTTTAAAACTGAACCCTGCATCTGTTCACACGCCCCTGCAATAAAGTCCTGGCTATGCCTCTGGTGTGTGTTTATGTGTGGTCAGGATTAGATGTTACCTAGCCTGGTGCCCACAAACAGCCTCGGGACACTTTGGGGGTAATTGTCCTTCTGGCCCCTAAAGATGCCACTGGCTACAACCTTCTGCTCCAACTGTGAAGAGAAAAAAAATGTGTTAGAGCGTGTGTGTACCTGCCTCTTCCTCTCACGCTGGGTTTTCCTAGACAGTGTGTCTGTATTTTACCAGGTTCTTCCACTCTTGCTGACTTTTCCTGGATTATGTGTTTTTTGTGTGTTTTTTGAATATATGGTCTTTTACCTGGTTCTTCCTCATAGGGTTTTCCTACACTAAGCGTTTGTTGATTTTGGACATTTTAGGACAAAAGTGTCCTGATTTAAAGAGAAAAAAAGCAGAAAAAAACTGGGCCAACCTAAATTTACTGACTAAAAGCCCCATGTTCCAGTTTGTTTTACAATTGAAAGAGACAAAATGATTTTTTTGGCTATTGATGTTAAGAATTAGGATATAGGTACTTACCAGGGGCATCACTGGAACCCCAAATGTTCCTTAAGCTTTGTGTACGCCACATAACTTTTAAAATAGCATCGCTTCTAATTTCATCATATTCATCTAATCGAGTCTAATTTCTCGTCTTTTTGTCAAGGCCAAAACACAGTATTTTAGCTACAAAAAAGAACTCAAAACCCAAAATCTCACTGTTTTCACATGATACAAACAAAGCTAGACTGGACTGGACTTCGTAGTGCTTTTATGCACAAACAAGAAGCACAGCCACAGCGCGGAAAGGATGGATAAATATTTGGTAACACTTTATTTGGATGGTCCACTGTAGATGCTTTGTAAATGCGCAGCATATCTTTAAGTTACAGTCAATTAAATATCCATTAAATGCAGCTGAACTTGAAGTTGAGTGTTACTTGGATGGTCCACTGTAGATGCTTTGTAAATGCTTAGTCTGCCTTTAAGTAACATTTAGCTAGAACAAGTTCAGTGTGAAACATTCTATTACTGTCCCTAACCTTAACCTTAACCTAAAGGCAAAACCTAATGCTAACCATAATGTTATTGATAATCAACTGAACATCATCAGAACGTTTGCTAATGATTTAAGTATCTGTAGAGCACCTATAGGAGATCATCCACATAAAATGTGGCCAAATATTTCACTACAAACCAGCAGCTGATTTGAAATTGTAAGGGCCTCTTTGCCTGTGTTCAACAAGCAGCTCCTCTGTCTTTTGGTATCGTATGGACCTCCGATCAATCAGGACCTTGAATGCAAGACTAAAGATTGACCTCTCCACTGTCAAACTACAGCATCATTCACACAGTTGTAATGTCAGTCTGCAACCATTAAAGCTGAAAGGAGGTTATTAAGATAAACATTAGGCTTAATTCATAAATATCACATACAAAGTGAAACAGTATAACTAGACTTGGAGCTTTTTGAAGTGGAGACCACAGATAGTGAGTGTGAATGAATCAGAGCTAGAAATGACGATATTGGCAGCTCTTTATATTCTTTGTTATCATGTTTCTCTTCAAGTCTTCAAAACAATCCTGTCAGTAACAGTCACAGTCTTGTTTACAGTACGTTACTAGGGCCACATAGGTTTTATATCAGCAGTTTTATATCCCTTAATTCCTTTTAGTTGGATATAAGAACTGTAAGAGGGGCAGCAGGAAGATTTTGCCAGTTAAAAAAAAGATTGATCTCTTATTAAGCAAGGTGGTCAATTAAAAATGTTGAAGGAGAAGGTCTGATCAGTTACCAAGAGAAGTCCCCAAAAAAAACCCTACTGTATGCCAACTGATATATACCAAATAGTCATATTTTGGACAGATATTAAAGCTACTGCTGCTCTAAAAGTGATCATGAACAGAGATTTTGGGGCTATAATCTTTCTTTGTCCATGGGAGCATGCCTCCAGAACAACCCCCCCCCGCCAGTAATCCATAAATCACAACGCTGTTCGTGCACATATTGTAGCTGTCAGAACAAAACCTCATATCCCCAAATAATAACTTCATAATAGAAGGAAAAAACATTCTAAACTTTTACTGGAAGTTAATGCAATAGATTCCACGTATTTCTAAATAAGTGCTATCGTTTTTGTTCTGACAGCGATGATGCCATGGGACGTGTTATTACACGTATGAATGTGTGTGTTTCACCTGGTTCTTCCACTCTGGTTGGATTTTCCTGCAGTAATCATTGACCAGGTTGCGTATACACAGCCGATGCAGATGGACAGAGGCCTACGGTCAGTGACAGATGGACAAACGCATTTCGGTCAGCACTAAATCACAAACCTTTCCACCATTGCCAGAAAGGGACAGATTCCTGAAATCCAGTATTATGCATATTAATGAAAAATAAACTGGCAACCAAAGCCTCCTGAAAACACCCATGCGTGAGACGCTGTGCATGCAGGTGTGTGTAACTCTGTTGTATTATGGCACATTAAAAATCCCCCATGATCACAACTGGGTTTCAGGGCTGGGCTAGCTTGCCACATTTACATACACTCAAACTGAAAGCCCCCAGGAGCGTGTGTGGGTGTGTGTGCATGTAGGTGCACGTGGATGTGTGTGTATGTTGTGTGGGAGTGTGTGTGTTGACCTCTGTGAGTGATGGCGGTGGTCTTGGCCAGGTTCTGTCCAGAACGCTTTTTGGCAGGTTCCTTTTGATTGTCATCAAATATGAGAACCGGACGTGATCCAGGAAGTACTCGTTGTCAGGGCAACGGGGCTCATTCCTCAGAATAAAGCCTTTTATCAACCTGAAAGAGAGAGAGAGAGAGAGAGAGAGAGAGAGAGCAGAACTCTCATAAACTATATGTGCTGATTGAGTGATTTTAATTGTTTGACTGACTGATTTAGTGACTGAGTGCCTGATTGATTTTCACTGACTGAACAACTGATTGATTTATTGATTACTTTATTCTGATTGATTTGCTTTTGATGAATTGATTAACTGACTGCGTGCCTGACTGACTCACAAATTTATTGATTTTAAAACTGCAGACTAAAGCTTTTAATATGTAATTTGTTATGTTACATTGTTTTCTGTAGCTCAGTATTTTTGCAGTTTTGTATCCAGTAGGATATTTTTCACTTGGGCAGTGTCCCTTTTAGTGACTGACTTACTGACTGACTGAAGCATTGATTGGCTGACTGATTGACTGACTGACTGACTGAATGACTGACTTACAGACTGAGTGACTGATTGATTGATTGATTGATTGATTGATTGATTGATTGACTGACTGATTGACAGACTGACTGATAGATTGACTGACTGATAGACTGACTGATAGATTGAATGACTGACTGACTGACAGATTTGATTGACTGACTGACTGACTGATAGATTGATTGACTGACTGACAGATTGATTGACTGACTGACGGACTGATAGATTGATTGACAGACTGACTGATAGATTGATTGACTGATAGACTGACTGATAGATTAAATGACTGACTGACTGACAGATTTGATTGACTGACTGACGGACTGATAGATTGATTGACAGACTGACTGATAGATTGATTGACTGATAGACTGACTGATAGATTAAATGACTGACTGACTGACTGACTGACAGATTTGATTGACTGACTGACTGATAGATTGATTGACTGACTGACGACTGACTGATAGATTGATTGACTGACTGACTGATAGATTGAGTGAGCGACTGATAGATAGAGTGACCGACTGATAGATAGACTGACTAATAGATAGACTGATCACTGGCTGATAGACTGACTCACTGACTTACAGATTGACTGAACGACTGACTGACTGACCTCAATTCATTGACAGTAAATTAATATAGTCACTTTAAAATTAGAAATATCATAAATATCATATTTATATAATATCAATATATGTAATTTCACTCAATCTCTCTCTGTAACACATTTACACAAACACAAACACACACACACACACACACAAACACACACACACACACACACTGACTTGCGAATGGTGTCTGCGGCTTGTCTGCGGCGCTTGGCTCTCCTGCGTCCTTTGACTCCTCTCCACCATGATTGGATCACGATCACTGCAGATAGACAGACGCTGTTAGACTCAGACAGGCACACTGAAACAAGTTTCTGTCTGGTTAATAGGACTTGGTCTTTATTTCTGATTGGCTGGTGTGGTTTACCTGTAAGTCTGATTGGTTAATGATGCACACAGAGTAGCTTGATTTTTCCATAAGGTTCTGCTCATGTGACAAGTGGTACAGGTACAATGTTGGTGTCTGATTATGTTAGCTAATCTGATTCATTATCTGATGCTGTTTTTCTTAACGTCACCACATCTGATTTTCTAATGATATTTGATCTGACTTCAGTCTCAGATTGTGTAGTGATTGGGCTGTGATTGGCTGGTTTACCTGCATGTCTGATGCGATGGTATTTGGCTCGTTCCCTGTAGCCTCTCCAGTTCTTCTGCAGAATGATGGCTGCAGAAAGAAAAAAAAAACATACAAATGAAAGTCACGTAGCTAGAACAGTAGTAGAAGCCACCTGGAAGCCTTCATTTTTCTGTCCATACTTTTGTCATTTTTCAGAAGACGGTATGTCAAACAGTGTCAGATACCAAATAAGAAAGTCTTTGAGATATTAGTTAACAATTTGACACGGTTTGAGTCAAGAACATGATTTAGGCATGTGGTTTGCAATGATGCTAATTGGTGGAGTGTAAAGCTTCTATCACTTGTTAGCTACTTTAGCCTTGTGGCTTCAGGGCAAAACTAAAGAAGCAAACATTGGGCACCAAACATGTCTTGATTGATTAATTACATTTGGGGTGAAAGTGAAAACTGATGGATTGAAAACTGTATAAATGTAATTGTTTCCTTTGGTTATGTTCAAGTTAGCATTAGGACCTGAGCTGGTTATGTGAACATGAATGAGCATCACGTGAACGATCTTCTTTTGGTCTCTTCTCTCACTCACCGATGGTTGGTTTCTTGAGTTCCAGAGCATCTTCAGTCAGGAAAAGGGTCTTTGGGAAGCGAATGAAGATTTTGGACCTTTTTTGGGCAGAAAGAAAGAAGAGCACATCATTAAGAATAGTTTTCCTCCACTCACTGGCCACTTTATTAGAAACCCCAACCTTGTTCTTCCACTCACTGGCCACTTTATTAGAAACACCTACTTTTTACCTCCACTCACTGGCCACTTTATTAGAAACCCCAACCTTGTTCTTCCACTCACTGGCCACTTTATTAGAAACACCTACCCTTTACCTCCACTCACTGGCCACTTTATTAGAAACACCTACTTTTTTACCACCAATCACCATCCACTTTATTAGAAACCCCAACCTTGTTCTTCCACCCACTGGCCACTTTATTAGAAACATCTACCTTTCACCTCCACTCACTGGCCACTTTATTAGAAACCCCAACCTTGTTCTTCCACTCACTGGCCACTTTATTAGAAACACCTACTTTTTTACCACCAATCACCATCCACTATATTAGAAACCCCAACCTTGTTCTTCCACTCACTGGCCACTATATTAGAAACATCTACCTTTTACCTCCACTCACTGGCCACTTTATTAGAAACCCCAACCTTGTTCTTCCACTCACTGGCCACCTTATTAGAAACATCTACCTTTTACCTCCACTCACTGGCCACTTTATTAGAAACCCCAACCTTGTTCTTCCACTCACTGGCCACTATATTAGAAACATCTACCTTTTACCTCCACTCACTGGCCACTTTATTAGAAACCCCAACCTTGTTCTTCCACTCACTGGCCACTATATTAGAAACATCTACCTTTTACCTCCACTCACTGGCCACTTTATTAGAAACCCCAACCTTGTTCTTCCACTCACTGGCCACTTTATTAGAAACACCTACCTTTTACCTCCACTCACTGGTCACTTTATTAGAAACACCTATCTTTTACTTCCACTCACTGGCCACTTTATTAGAAACCCCCACCTTGTTCTTCCACTCACTGGTCACTAGCACAATATTTTACCTCCAAAATTCAAAATCTGCATCAGAAGACAATATCTGGATGCTAATATACTGAAATGACGGGTTTTGACCGCAAGTGATATTCAACAACGTCCTCCAACTTCCCCACATCTGAATCTTCAACATTGTAGAATTTTGTTCAGTTCAGTTTAGCCTCTTTCTGCAGGCCCCCTAGTGGCCACTCTGACAGCAGAACGGAAATCCACTCTGAATTTTTTAATTGAACATAATCAAAGAAAATATTTTCCTTCTAACTCTGCTGTCAGCTTAGTTAGGACACTGTTGTCTCTGTGTGAAGTGTTGTGTGTTGAGCTGTTTGTGAGGCGTAAAAGCACAACTGCAGCTTTCTTCATATCACTAAATCATGTAAAACTGCCACAATAAAAAATAATATTAAAAAATATAATTTCAACACAACACAAACACTTTTATAAATGTTGACATACTTGCTCACATACAAAGTTCTGTTCAGGTTTTGCAGGTCATACACATTTCCATCAAACAAGTGTATTTCATTGTTTTATTGAAGAAAAAATGCACAGTGCAAAAAATAAGGATGCAAATTTCATTTTATGGCTACTGTAAAAAAGGGTTAATGATAAACTAACCCTATGCTGACTTTCTGCTCATTTAAAATAAATAGAAGTATTAATAACAGAAATATTGACTCAGCGAGACTGAATTTTAATTTGATTTTCACCCTCATAACATCCAAATGCAGCCACTAGAGGAGATATCCGCTCATATCTGTCGCCACACCAGACCAGTGTGAATACAGTGTGAAATGCCCGCGCACCCCTCTCACCTGCCCAGTTTGTACTCCTCTGGTTTGTAGTTGAGGTGTTTAACTAGAGTGGACACACCATCGGACAGTTTGCCCTGCCAGCTTGGCCAAGTGTCTGGACACAGAGGCTTATACCTGCACACAAACGCAAACATACAGACACACATAATGAAAGAAACAGAATGTGCTATTTTATAGACAGATACACAGTCAGACATACAAAAGCACAAACAGTGTGTGTTACCTCTGTAGAAAAGCCTCGAAGCTCCGCCTGTATGCAAATCCAGCTCTTCTCACTCTCAGGTTCTCCATCAAACCCAGATACTTCACCTGGTGTCTCACCAGCACCTCCTCAAACCTCCCTACATAGACACAAAGAAGGGAGACTTGGACTGAATTCATTTTACTCCAGATAAACCAAATTACATTTAAAAATCCTCAGAAAAGACTCAGAATAAGTCTTTTAGCAGCTATAACTGCTCAGCATATCTATAAGCTTGTACTTGTATTACTATCTCTGTAGGGACGTAATATTTATCACTGAACCAACAAAAGTATTGGAATGTTTGTGTATTCCTATAAATGTGGGGACTATATTGATCTCAGGAAGACGGCAATAAAGTAAACACAGTAACACTTTATTTGAACTCACATTAACAGAACATTAATATAACCATGTCATAAACATGTCATGGTAGGTGTCTAAAGCTGTTATGAGTTGTCGTGACAGATTATGTTCAGTAATATAACAGTCTCATGTTACTATTACTGTAGTAACTGTCCTGACAGATGTCATAATGTTTGATGTCATTATGGCTAATGATGTTAACAGCCTTGCATGAGACATAAGCTGTTATGACTTCAGACATATGCTACAGCCATATGCAAGTTTGAGCAAATGTTTTGTTGGCTTTCTAAGTGAAAGCATGTTAACAAGCCCTCTACAGGGGACTTACATGACATTTTCTGCATACTTTAGTTATATTTTTTATAAAATATTTCTATTTTATTTTATTTATTGAGTTTGAAATACTGGGAAATACATTTTGCTTCCAATATGTTAAATTCAGCAAATGAACAGTTCTTGTGCACTAACCCTCTACTGCACGCATTATAAGAGAAAAAAAATACTCAATTAATTTTTCTTGCATAAAATGGTCCTTGATTTATTTATTATTATTTTTGGACCTGATTATTAAACTCAAAAACATTAAAAAACATTCTGCAACAATGGGGAAAAATAATATAGAGCTGTGTTCCACTTCACTGTTCCAAATCCATTCCACTGTTGCACAATGTTGCTTCTAGGCAACAAACATATTTCTGCAAATTCCCATAACAAAAAAAAAATGTATACTGAATGTTAAAAAAGAGGTTTAAATGTGCCGACTAAGAGATAGTATGACCAAGTAAGTGCTTTTTATTGAGTTACTCAAACTCTTCCCTTTATCGTTAACTCTATCGTTGCCTTTAAATATTTATAACGTTTCTGTAAAGTGAGGAAGAGGCAACATCATGCAATAGAGGGTTATGTGCAGAAATACAGAATGTCGTAACATGTCATTTCACCAGGGGTGCACAAACCTTCACACAGGACAGCATCTTTAAAAATGTTCATATTTACTTTTATGAAGTTTCAGCCTATACAGTAGTTTTGTAGATCAGAGGCTGATATATTTGCATATTCCATCTCCCAGAATTTAAAGCAAGGGTGCAACTAATTTTGAATACCCCTCCCCCATCCAATGTTTGTGTTGATTTTCTAAGTGTAAACAAGTCAACACATCCTCGACAGAGAACACAAATCACACGTGAATTTTTTTTCTGCAACTTTAGTGCAAAATTCCTATTTTTTTAGTTTATTCCAGTTTAACATAACAAACCTAAAATATTCAGTAAAGTGAAGGTAACAGTAAACAGTAAACACACACGTACCTGGCTGTTTGGCATCGTTGGGTTTGATGCAGCGGATGTATGACGGCTGCTTAGACATCAGAATGTCCATCAGTTTGGCCAAACTCAGCTTAAACTGGGTGGCAGCCTGTCCACACAAAAGAAGTGTGAATCCTTTCTGTGCATATTTTCTAGTGAGTGTGAGTGTGTGTGTTTGTGTACAGCTGTGTGTGAGTGTGTGTTTGTGTGGATGTTTGTAAGTGTAAGTGTGTGTGTGTATTTGTGTGGATGTTTGTGAGTGTGAGTGTGTATTTGTGTGGATGTTTGTGAGTGTGAGTGTGAGTGTGTATTTGTGTGGATGTTTGTGAGTGTGAGTGTGTATTTGTGTGGATGTTTGTGAGTGTGAGTGTGAGTGTGTGTTTGTGTACAGCCGTGTGTGAGTGTGTGTTTGTGTGGATGTTTGTAAGTGTAAGTGTGTGTGTGTATTTGTGTGGATGTTTGTGAGTGTGAGTGTGTATTTGTGTGGATGTTTGTGAGTGTGAGTGTGAGTGTGTGTTTGTGTACAGCCGTGTGTGAGTGTGTGTTTGTGTGGATGTTTGTAAGTGTAAGTGTGTGTGTGTATTTGTGTGGATGTTTGTGAGTGTGTGTGTGTATTTGTGTGGATGTTTGTGAGTGTGAGTGTGTGTGTTTGTGTAAAGCCGTGTGTGAGTGTGTGTGTGTATTTGTGTGGATGTTTGTGAGTGTGAGTGTGTATTTGTGTGGATGTTTGTGAGTGTGAGTGTGTATTTGTGTGGATGTTTGTGAGTGTGTGTGTGTATTTGTGTGGATGTTTGTGAGTGTGAGTGTGTATTTGTGTGGATGTTTGTGAGTGTGAGTGTGTATTTATGTGGATGTTTGTGAGTGTGAGTGTGTATTTGTGTGGATGTTTGTGAGTGTGAGTGTGTATTTGTGTGGATGTTTGTGAGTGTGAGTGTGTATTTATGTGGATGTTTGTGAGTGTGAGTGTGTGTGTTTGTGTAAAGCCGTGTGTGAGTGTGAGTGTGTATTTGTGTGGATGTTTGTGTTTGTGAGTGTGCTTGTGTGTTTGTGTGGATGTTTGTGAGTGTGTTTGTGAGTGTGAGTGTGTGTTTGTGTGGATGTTTGTGAGTGTATGTGTGTTTGTGTGGATGTTTGTGAGTGTGTAGGTCTGCCTGACCGTCTCTGGTCTTCTCTGGTCAGTCAGCTCGTCTGTATGGAAACACTCCTTCACGATCTGATTCTCCGACTGACACATCACCTGTACATCATACCAGAAAACAACACACACACACGTAAATACATATGAATGATGTAATAAATAACTACCTACATTTATTCAGCTCCATGTTCAGAAGCACATTTTGATAGATTTATACTTTTTCTAAATAGTTACAAACGTGTAGGGCTGCATGATGATACTGCTACCTGCAGATATTTGCTTCAAAAAACACTGACATTGGACAGACACCAGTTTTCTGACCAGCATTTCGGACCAGTTTTTGATGATGTATTAATTGTTCTCTGCAAGAGTAGAATGTTTCGATGACGCTGAGTTACTGTGCAAAAATATCAACACTTAACCCATTTTACTGCATTTATAACCCCACAGAAATAAATCTTATATTTCTCTGTGGCTAATAGTCCCAGTGTCTAGGTAGATAAGATAGATAGAGAGAACTTTATTGATCCCAGAGGGAAACTGCAGTGTTTCAGTAGCAAGACATATAATTGAACATAAACGTACATATACTATGCAGAAAATAAAAAATAGAAATAAAAATAGAAAAAGAGACAAAAAATAGACATAAGTTAAAGTGAGAGAGTAGGTATATCTATTTGTATATTTACATGGCATATAAAAGTTGTATTTACATGAGAGCAGGCAGGTAGTCTAAAAAAAAACAATGAGTATAGACATAACCAGGAGTTGCAGCAATATTACAGTGTAAAGTGTAAAGTTAGCAGTAAGAGCGTCATTAAATGTTAATGTATCAACACTAAATATATTAGGCTCCAAAAGTCTGAGACCACATTGAAAATTTAGATTTTTTATTCCATCTAAACCTGGAAACAAACAGCAGAACATCTTCGCATTTTGATTTTTTTTTAAACAAATAAAACAATGATAACATACTACGTTAAATTCTTTTACTTCAGGAAGCAAGAAAAATGACGTTTTCCATGATATGCGCCTATAAAGTAAGATTTTTTAATGAATTATTACTTTCTCAGAATTTCCAAACAATATTTTTACTTCAGTTTTTCATGTTTCGGGTTTAATTATATTCTATGCTGTAGGTTCAGCAGCTGAACCACTTTACGGTCAGCTGAAGCATTTTATTTTAGACCAAATGATCCAAAAAGATGACGTGCATAACAAACTTTAGTTCCTATGCTGACAGACGCTGGATGTACTGAGATGTTCTACTGCAGTTCTATAAGTCACTCAGTACTTAAGAAGAATTTAGACTTGATACTTTTTATCAGTCCTGCTGCTACGATTACTTCCGCTAATAGACTCCCACACTGAAGTTTGATTATCTGCATACAATCGTCGTCATGATTACCTCCTTGAGGTTCCTATACAGAAGGTCATTGTTCTTGTCCAAGAACCCTGAAATGCAGCACAGCAGAAACTAATCAACAACAGAACAGTGAACTGGACAGACAGACTGATAAACAGAAGGATGGATGGACAGATAGATGTCTCTTCTCACCGTTAACGTTGTAGTTGACCTCTCCGGCGTAATGCAGCAGTCGAAACTCCTCTCGGCCTACTGCTTTACGGATCTTCCCATTGGCCAGTTTATGACTGGAACACAGTAAATCGACCAATCAGCGACAGTGTCACAATTACATAAATCATTCAAGCAGAGCTGTAAAAAATCCTTAAACTCCAAAGCAGGGAGGTATGTATGCTAGTGCACTGCCTGTCTGTGCCCAAAAGTTTGGGGACATTTAACACTTTTCAGTTAAGTAAGATACACCAGCATAGTTTTTATGACCATAAACCTCTGCATGCTAATCCTCTGAGTATATCGCTGCTGTCAGAACAAAACCTCGTATCTCCAAAATGGTAACTTTACAGTAGAAAGAAAAAACATACTTCACTTTTAATGTAAGTCAATAGAACCAGAATTTTTTCCAAGCTATTTTGGGTCATTTCTTTTAGTCCATTCATCATGAAATTTACACATTATATAAAGAGCAACGAACATTTTCAAATTATGTCAAAAACTGAAAAACAAAAATGGAGATATGAGGCTTTGTTCCGACAGCAGCGATATTTAGCTTCAACATTCAGCTTAATGTTCATGAGAGTCTTTCTTGGTGTGAAGAGCTGATTTTGTCTAAATAATGATTTGACAAACAGACTCCACTGTATTACAAACATTCAGAAAAGCTAGACGTCCACAAACGTTTTAATGAGCTGTGTACGAATGTATACCTACGTGACAAAGTGGGCGTGGCCTCCCAAACGGTCCTCAAGCTTCTCCAGGAAAGTGAGGTCACAAGCATCTCCCGGCCTTAAACACTCTTCATCCTGATTCAGTTCACTCGGTTCAGTTCAATTCAGTTCAGTTCAATGGAGAAAACATCTCAGTTCTCTGACCACAATTGTGGCCGCGATTTAAACTGCAATTATTTTCCATAAAATAAAATTGAGGCATTTTTTGGCCAAGAAAACCAGCATATATCCATTTTAGTAATTTTTTTTATTTAATTTTCTACAGAATTTAAAAATAGCAGCTGCCTTTTATGTTATGTTACAATTTTGCGAAAAATAGATCAACAGAGATTCTTCAAAATTAGCTGGGAAAAAAATGTTCTATTAACCTCCATTCAAAGTTAAGAATCCCTTTCATTTTCCTGTAAAGTCTCCATTTTTGGAGACAAAAGACTCACAACAGCGACGATATTGTTTTTTTCTGTTCTGACATTATTAATAATGCAGGCTATAATTAAAAATAAAATTGCTGCACTTTTTGGAAACTGCCCTCTTTCAAACTGCAATTTCAGTATGAAAATGAATCATCTTCAGCCAGACAGGGTGACACACACTAACCAGGATAGCGATGATGCCTTTGAATTTCTCCTCCACCAGGTCACAGATGATTTTGTTGTTGAAGTATTCCACCGTCTCCCACTGTCCAAGAACAACAAAGACTCTCGATGAAACTTTTACCATTTTATCCAGATCTTCTCAACAACACTTCGAACATCTCAGCTCACTAACAGACACACTCACGCACCCCGATGCCCTCGGCCTCGTACTCCTCCTGCTCGCTCTTCAGCGTCAGCTCGATGAACAGCTGCTGCAGCTTCTCGTTGCAGTAATTAATACAGAACTGTTCAAAACTGCAGACAGAGTGCCGTTATATTACTTAAAGGAACAGAACAGTGCCAAAAGATTCTGATGAATTACTTTAAAATAATTCCAGTGTTTGTTTGGTAAATGCATTCATTTAATATAAGACACGACTTAAGTGTGCGTCTGATGTAAGATACAAACCATATATTTACTCCCACAGACATTCACAGGGGCACAAAATGAGACTTCAGTTTGTTTTTGTTAGAAACGATAGTAAAAGACCTTCTTATGCTACTTTTTATGCAAATACAATAAAACTATATTTATATTTATACTTATAATTCAGACAACAGCTTAAAGAAATGATTCGCTGAACTGATTTTGTGCTTGCAGGTGTAAAAAAACAACTTTGAACCTAAAACTAGGTTTAGGTCTGTGCCCTGTGGAAATTTTGGGGTATCTCACATTAAGCATAGACTTTAAAATAAAAAAGTGGCAAAAAAATAATAGTAATAATAATAATAATAATTTAAAAATCATCATAAAATCTTAACAAAATTGGAAAATTGCATTATTGCAGGCTTGCCCAACCAGGGACTTGCAAATAACTAACTAGTCATTAGACACTGTTAAATTAAATTTAATTTTATTTTTTAAAAAAAGGAAAAAAACAAAAAAACTAAATGTAACGCTGTATTGTGACCTATTGGGACTACAAAAAGCAACAGAAGTTAATATTTCCATTCAATAATGATTCACTCAATAATTACGGCTCCTGGATCACATTGTGATAAACATTGTAACCACCTGATAATTTAATACAGATTAAAATTAATAACTAGCTAATATACTATTTATTGCTAAAGCATCTTAATCATCTTAAATGTGTGATACGTTTGAAGCAGTATGATCATCAATGTATGAAGACATGAAAAAAAAAACATGTGGACACATAGAAGCTAATTATGCTAACCTGCACATCGTCCAGTTTTTATATGTTTTACAATGTTTTTTTTTTAATTAGCTACTTTTTATGTGCACATCTAATAAGATATCCAAAAAAATACAATTTCAGACCCAAAACCTTTATTTGACCAAAAACAACTGCTTTATTTACCAGTACCCCCCTTAAAGTCTCAAGGGGTCACTAATGCAAATGATTTATGTTGAAAGGTTTCGGCTGAAACAAAAAGTTGGGAACCCCCATTGTAATCCAGTCATTGCAGTAACCTCAGAGTGTGATCATCAGTTTTGCTTTCCCAAAAAGTGAAAATTGGGCTCGCACAGCTTGTGTGGTGCTGCCTCAATATAGAATATATAGAAATACAGAAGAGCAGTGAAAAATATAGAGTAAGAGAGTAAGAGAGAGAGAGAGAGAGAGAGAGAGAGAGAGAGAGAGAGAGCATTTTGTAGATAATGAACAGTCTGTTATGGGAGGGTAAAGATCAGGGAGAGAGATGAGGTCCGACCTGTTGTTCTGAAAGACCTCAAAGCCGTAAATGTCCAGCAGGCCGATAACCGATGAGCATTTGCTGGTGTAGTAAACTTCATCCTGTACACAGGTCAGATTGGGCTAATTAACATATGCAGTGCAATGTGGTGCAGGTCCACTAGAGGGCAGTGCAACCCAGTCATGATCACTTCAGCGGGCTGGAAAACACCTGGGTGAACTTTCTGATCTCCTTTCCTTACAATACAGACGAACACTCACTGGTCTAACGCAGTGACATGCTGAAGCATTATGGGATGTCATCTCACTACAGGGCGATTTGTGGAATAACTAACATTATTTTCAAACCTCAGGAAAGATGGGCACTCTAGACTTTACCAAATTCTACATACACTCCATGACAGAAGTATGGAAGTGGCCAGTTATTTTAAAAACGTTTGCTCTATATGAGTAAACATATTATTGTGCTGTGCAAAAGATATATGCAAAAGTCAGAATCTTGTTTTCTAAGTGAAAATAAGTTAACACATCCTAGAGGAAAAAGTGACTGACATATGGCATTCTTCTCCAAATTTGAGTGCACTGTTTGTATTGACTAGGCTTTCTATATATTTAATTTATAAAAATAGAACAGAACTTTTGCAAAGGCCACATTTTATTTATTTCAGCCCCATGTGAAATTCAGCAGGCAACATGGTGGTGTGGGGGGGGGTAGCACTGTCACCTCATAGCAAAAAGGGCCTGGGTTTGTGTGTTCTCACCATGTCTACGTGCTCTAATTGGAGATGCTAAATTCTGTGTGTCTGCCCTGTGATAGACCGGTGAGTGCCCAATGAGCGCTGGGAAAGGCTCCAGCACCCCCGTTGACCCAGGAGGACGAGTGGCTTAGATAATATGTGTGCCAAATTCAGCAAATAAACAGTAACTGTGTACTAAAATGTGCAGAAGTTCTGTGCAGAGAAGGTGCTAACTTATTTTTGCTTAGAAACTGCAGACTTGGTAAGAGTGGGAGGAGCTATGTCACCTGGAAGGCCAATGACTGGTTGATCTTCTGGACGAGCCAGGTAAAGGTGCGACCGTATATGGCTTTGGCCAGGGCATCTCGAGCAGAGAGAGCCTGCTCAAGGCTGAGTGGACCGATCATCTGCAACAGGCATAATGCAGTGTCATGGACTCATTTACTGTCAGAGTCTCTGTATTAAATACAACAGATATCAGACAAAATTAATATGTGGGAGAGAAACAAAGACAAAGGAAGATGCTGTTCAGCTGTTTACCTCCTCTCCTTTGGCAACGATCTTCTTATGAGTGAGCGCTTCGCTCAGATATGAGCCCTCCACACCCAACAGCTGACAACACAACAACATCTGCATGAGACTGCTGTGTTTATGCATGAGGTTCACAACAAGCCTGAAGTTAAAGCAGGTTCTCAGTCACACAGGTGTTCTCATCACCACAGGCAGTGAATACGTCTGGCCTTGGCTCACCTGAGGCAGGTAATTAGTTCACCTGAGGCAAGGATTTTATCTCACACAGGTACTTAATGGAAACCTTTATGTTCCATAAAGATTCATAACTGCAAGCTATTATAGAAGACACTGTTTACAGGAACCATGTTACATTTCTGTCTCCAGGAGATTCACGCTGACAGTGAAGGAGTACAGAAGTCTGTGTTTTGTCTAGGACTCTGACAACACACTACTTTGAGTAGATACAAGTTCAAAGTGAAGCAATAGCTCACATATTTTTGCATTTGCATCATCTGCAGTGCATTTGGTTCCTTTCATGTCCACGACAGGCCCAAGTCTTTACAGCTGGACCAAAACTCAAATGCTAGCGATGTTTAACAAAATGTCAAGAAATATTATACGTAACTCACATTTTGGTGCAAATAAGTGACTCATCTGAGACATATATTTGACCCTGAGATACACTATATGGACAAAAGTATTGGGACACCTACACATCACAACTACAGGAGCTTTTATGACATCCCATTCTAAATCCATAGGCAATAATATGGAGTTGGTCCTCCTTTACGGCTGCAACAGCTTCCACTCTTCTGGGAAGCTTTTTACAAGACTTTGGAGAGAGTCTGTGGTAATCTTTTGCCCATTCATCCGGAAGAGCATTTGTGAGGTCAGACACTGACGTTGGACAAGAGGGCCTGACTCACAATCTCTGTTCTAGTTCATCACAAAGGTGACCGATGGGCTTGAGGTCAGGGCTCTGTGTGGGCCAGTCAAGTTCTTCCACACCAAACTCACTCAGCTATGCCTTTATGGATCTTGCTTTGTGCACTGGGGCTCAGTCATGCTGGAACAGAAAAGGTTCTTCCCCAAACTGTTCCCACAAAGTTGGAAGCACAGAATTGTCCAGAATGTCTTGGTCTGCTGAAGCATTAAGGTTTCCCTTCACTGGAACTAAAGGATTTAGGCCAATCCCTGGAAAACAACCCCACAGCATTATCCCTCCTCTATCAAACTTTACAGTTGGCACAGTGCAGTCAGGCAGGTAATGTTCTCCTGGCATTCACCAAACCTAGACTCGTCCATCAGACTGATTCATCACTCCGCAGAATACGTTTCCACTGCTACAGAGTCCAGTGGCGGCATGCTTTACACCGCTCGTGAATTTCGTGAACCGACTTGTTGCAACGGTGGCCTCCGATTACAGCACCACGATCGAATCCACGACCCATTCTTTCACAACTGTTTGTAAAGACAGACTGCATGGCTAGGTGCTTGATTTTATACACCTGTGACAATGAGACTGAATGAAAAACCTGAATTCAATGATTAAGAGGTGTGTCCCAAAACTTTTGTCCATATAGTGTAGGTATATGACCTACCTCAGATGAGATTGTGAGCTCTATGTAGCTTTGTTGTCACATAGGACAGATATATAACTCACCTCAGTCACGTATTTAATCGGCATCTCTGTGGTAAGGTGCGTCTCCCCGTACTCATCCTCTCCAAACTGGGTGTTTCCCAAATGCAGGACAGTAGCAACAACCTTCAGTAACTCCTAAAGAAAGAGGAAACATATATCAGGGAGGCCGAGGCATATGTAGTGGTGTGTGTTTGAGCATCGTCTGTGTGCGCATGCCTTACCTCCACCTCCTCTTCATTGAAACCAATGACAGTGAAAGCTTTGCTGACGATTTTCCAGCTGTTCTTATCACTGATAGAGCTCACTCTTGGACAGTTACCCTGATGGAGAATTTAAAAATAAATCAAACTTATTAAATAGTATGATAAATATTTCGAGGCACCTTCTTATATAACCTACTCATATTATTATTTTCCATCTTAAAGAACAATAGTGAACACATTAAAACTCTGATACAGCACATGAGGATTTACTCTTATCAGAAATATTTGCCTATAACTGCCAAACACAGCTATACAGACTTCCACTACCAACAACAGAAGCGACTGCTTCATTAACGAGGACACATATTCCACTAATTAACTTTGAATAAGTAATTAGAAAGGGCAATACGGCAAGAACATATCACGATATTTGATTTTTTCATGATACACGATATATATCACAATATTTTGTTTTTCTGAGGTTTGATAAATCTGAACAGACAGTATTTAAAAAGAACTATTAAAAGTACAAAGACAGAGACTTTTACATACTAAATCCAATTAAACATGGCTAATTATGCGCTCTTTTTAATGTAGCATGTAGTTGGTCAGTGTTCTTAACATACCAATATCCACAGCGTCTTTAGTGCTTATTGTGACATAACTTATCACAATATGACAGAATATTGTTTTATGTTTTATTGTTTTATATCTGTAATAACTGTTATGATATAATGAATTTGGCTCGTTATTTTCAAACTTAATATGTCACTGAAGTTCTCACCACTTCGGACATGGGGCATTAAAAAAAATCTGTTTTGGAACAAAATCAATCAAAATCTTTAGGACATTATAAAAAACATCATTCGTTCAAAAAACTTTTGACCAGTACTGTATCGATGTGTCTCACCACACATACACACAGAGACGGACCTTAACCAGGTAGTGGTACTGCTGTGGGTTGGTCTTGTCCAGGCCGAGTCTCTTCAGCAGCGCGCTGTCTCCCGACTCCAGCAGCTGGTAGAATATGTGAAAGTTCCTCTCGCCATGGTTCTGATGCACCACCCGAGATTTCTCCAGCAGGTAGTTCAGGATGTGGCCTCCAATAGGAGCACCCTGAGCAGGGGACAGAAATCACCTTAGAGGGTGGGGATCACATGAGCACTAAGAGTGTCTTGTCCATTATGGTAATTATATTTAATAAAGTATGCACAAATTTTCTAGCAAAAAAAATTCTATTGCGATCCACTACTGTGGAAGGCATGCAGGCATGTTTGTATATTGAGTTTTTTTTTTTAAATAACTGCAAATCATACCAAAATAATCAAGTGCAATTTTTTTATGACATTTTAGGTTATTATGCATGAGTCGTTTCCTAAAGAATCATAATCAAAACAAATTGTTGTGAGGTCAGAGGTTACAGTGGGGAAAACACCAAACAGTGCACTGTATTAGTTTTTCTAGACCAGAATTGGGAGTAAAATAGAACATAAGCTGCATAATATGCCTTCTGTTCATTGCTGTTGTAGAGTGAGAAACACAAAACAGATACAAAAGTGTGACCATGTACAGTCACTGCTGTTCTCAGATGATTCTAACACTTATTTGATTGTTTTCTGCTAACCTTGTAGTCGAACTGCACATCCATGTACTTCCCAAATCGGCTGGAGTTGTCATTACGCAGAGTTTTGGCGTTCCCAAAAGCCTGCAGACGGAGAGAGAACAACAGGGAGAAGAACTCAGATAACATAGGGGATATGAATTCTCTGATAGAGTCTGTGTGTGTACACGCTGTGGCCCAACCGATATACTGCTTTGCCAATAAAATCAGCCAATAATTAGATAACACAGAATAGCCCATATTGGAAAATACTGCTGTTTATATGTTTAGATTTGGTTGGTTTTGTGTTGAAACAGATTTCCTCAATTTGAGGAAAGTTACTCATTTCTGTGAATTTTAATGGGTTCATACTTTTACATCAGTCTTTAAATAGACTTGTCAGCTTCTAATAGATTTTCAGTTTTAAACAGACTGTAACTTAAATTATATACTGAGAACTGACCGTCAGTAAAGCACTGCATAAATAAAACTACTGGAGTCTGTTTATAAAACTATGGGCCAAAGTTATCCGGATCAGTACTGTCAAAATGTTTACTGTCAAAATCGGTCAAGCCCTAGTGAGTACAGTACAAGGTCTGAGTGTAGTAGCCTCTCTCTGATGGACTGTATATACAGTTTATGGACAAAAGTATTGGGACACCTACACATTACACCCACAGGAGCTTTTATGACATCTTATTCTAATCCATAGGTATTAATATGGAGTTGGTGCCCTCTTTGCAGCTATAACAGCTTCCACTCTTCTGGGAAGCTTTCCACAAGAGGGCCTGGCACGCAATCTGTGTTCTAGATCCACTTCCACTGCTCCAGAGCTTTGCTCCACTGACACATCTGACACATTTTGATCTTAGGCTTTGGAAACTTGAGGCCATTGAAAAACCCATTTTATGAAGCTCCTAATGCGCAATTCTTCTGCTGATGTTGCTTCCAGAGGCAATTTGAAACTGTGTAGTGAGTGATTCAGCACTTGGCAGCCCCACTCTGTGAGTTTGTGTGGTCTACCACTTCGTGGCTAAGCTGTTATTGTCCCCTAGGTGCTTCCATTTCACAACAATAGCCCTTACAGTTGACAGGGCAGATCTAACAGGACAGAAATTTCACACACTTGTGGTAGAGGTGGCATCCTATAGCAGTGCCACGTTTAAAGTCACTGACCTCATCAGTACCACCCTCTACTGCCAGTTTGTCTATCGAGAGTGCTTACTTTTATCCACCTGTTAGCAATGAGTGTGTCTGAAACACCTGAACTCAATAATTAGAAGGGGTGTCCCAATACTTTTGTCCAAATAGTGTACATATATGTATGTATGTATGTGTATGTGTACCTCCAGCACAGGTGTGGACTGCAGTAGCCTCTCTCTGATGGACTGTGTGTTGTTGCGAGTTGGGCACATGGTGGTGTAGTACTGCAGGATTTTCTTGGATGCTTCTGTTTTTCCCGCTCCGCTCTCTCCTGAGATCAGAATACACTGATCCTTCCTCTCCGTCCTCACGGCACGATATGAGTTATCTGCTAAACCATAACTGAGACAACACACGCAGACACTTTAAACATTTCCCCTCTTATCCCAAAAGTAATCAATCAGCCAAGACATGCCTGGTGTCTGAAGTTTGCCTCTTTAGTTAGAGTTGCAAGGCTAATGTATCTGACAAATAAAGGAAGAATATAATCTGCCCATTCGCACTGTACAAACAGCAGGTCTGTACAACAGTGTGCCATGCAGTGTCAGAAATCAAGTCTGGCTTCGAGGTGATTTAACACCTAAACGCTATTTTAAGCAAGTATGTGATGATTTAGACATGCAGTTAGCACAACGTTGGGATGGTGATATAATTACGTGTTAGCTATATTAGCCTTGTAGCTTTGAAGTAATGGAAAATATGATTTTTTTTCACTGACCCATCACTTTGAGGTCAGGATCCTTGAAATATACATGCAAAAATTTTCAAATAATTCACACTGTAGCCATTAGTTACTATTAGTTTATGGTCAAAAAGCTACACCACTGGTCTTTGAGCATTAATACATTGTCAGCCCACTATTACATTAGTTTTACACTGTAGTATATTTAACACGATAAGAACTGTAAATACATTGTGATGGCTTAGTCCATGTGAAATAGGGCTGCACAACACTGTATTTACCATGATAAATACCGAAACCATCAGAAATCTGTGTTGTAGCATGATAAAATTTTGGACCACACCACCCATTACTATATTATATATCATAATCTTAATTGCTTGTCAATGACTTGTCAATCAAATGTGTTTACCCACCACCTAAGAAGTCTATCCTGCTTCTTTTTCATCTCTAACATAACTCATAACATATTAAACTCTAGTTTTAGGCCACTTTAATCATGCTGCATAAGCGACAACCAATGGGTTTGGCAAAACAGTACAATTGTGAGATTGTTTTATGTCCATTTTGTGCAGCCCTGCTGTGAAAGAACTTCTCTGGTGGCCTCAGGGATGAATCGAAGAGGGCTGAAGGTGGAAAAGGAAGACTATAATTACAGCACAGAGAACGGGGTTCCACCTATTGGCAGCAGCTCAACTCTCAACAGCCTGGGAGTGGAAAGTGTGCGCTGTTACTGTGTGTGCGCCACAAAGCATGTGTTTTTGTGTGTATGTGTATGGGGTCCAATCACCGGAGTCTCCAGGAAAAGTGAGTCACTCCGAGAGAATGAGCGGAATGTTCTCCGGGATTCCCATGACCTACACGCACACTTACATGTGAGGTGAAATCTCGTAGAAGTTGACCCCTCTGTAGCGCTCCATGTGCTGTTTGGAGTAGATCTCTAACTCTCTGTATGGATTCACCGACACCAACACAGAGCCAATATACGTCTGAGAGAGAGAGAGAGAGAGAGAGAGAGAGAGAGGAGAGAGAGAGAGAGTCAACAGCAAACCAAATACTCACTGGAGCAGTGACAGTAAATTCCACTGTCAGCACCAGAGCTCCATTTTTTCAAACTTTTGCTATCAGTCATGCTGATCGAACAAACCGGATGCTGAGTTTTGAGATGCTGGATGTCTTACTGTCCAAGCACACTCAGCATTACACAACAAAAACTACAATAAATAAACAATCGACTCTGGTAAACTCACTCATTTTTGCTGAAGATGCACCGATACCACTTTTTCCCTTACTGATACTGATACCTGATCCTTTAGTGTCGGCCAATACTGAGTATCGATAGGCTAGATGACTCACATATAAGTCCTGATATTTACACAATTACACTTTTAGAATACTTTACTTTGGTAAAATCTATGCTCTGCATCACAAACAAAACACACTCAGCTTGGCTAGATGGCATTTACTTGTTGGATTATATTTATTAGATGCTTAAGAAAACCTATTTTTGTTGATTTCCTGTATTTAGCATTTACTATTATATAATTAGTAATAAGAATCATGTTTAACAACTTACATAAATGTAAAGTATCTTTATTGTGCAGAAAAGGTAAAAACAGAGCTGGACAGTTTGCAGTGTTGACACATCAGCACACAGCAGCTTCTCTGGCACAAAAACGGAGCTGGATGTTGTTTCACAAATTCCAAATATCTCAAGTCGTTTGTCTCATATGTGCCTCTTGTTCCCTCGCGCTGCATCTCTGAGCGTCAGTTTAGTAAATATCACTGTCGTTCACGCTGTCAGTATTAGCGACTTTCAGTGTTTTGTCTGGCTTGTTTGAAGCGACGGGCCGTGGACCCTGCTGCTGAGCGATACAGCTGACCGACGGAGGCGCACTGCAGGGCTAGTGGACGCACAGACCCGGCTCACGAGCTGCTGTGCTAAAGGCTAAATCGAGGCTAAATGCTATCATTGCACCGAGAGTCCGGTGTTTCCTTCAGCTCTCTCATTAACATTAGCTCGGACTGTAAGTGACCACACAGCGGCAGATGAGGGATTACTGAAAGAAGCAGCTCAGCCGTTCAGGAAAGCGGCTCCGTTAGCATATTTTTCTCACTAAATGCTGCCATTAGCATCTTAACTGCTGCATGTCGTCCCACAGTGCTAACGAAATTGTTAAGTTCTGTCTACTGGCGCGTGCACGCATCAGAAACTGCTTTGCAGTATCGATCTGTATCCCCATCACCGACGACGATACTGCGTCTAAGTGCCGGTATCGACGCTGATACTGATACAGTATCGGTGCAGCACTAACTGTCACTATAGCAGCTTTTCCATGGCTGCATGCTGCTGTTGGCCATTTATCACTATGAGGCATGAAACTACTTTGTTCCAGGCTAATTGTTTATATGTGGGTCCACAATTCAATTCCTCACTAGAACCTACATATCAGTCTCATAGAAGTTACTGGACAGTAAGTCTTAACTGTATGATAACCCTGTAGGGTTAGGTTAGGGTTAAGACCTGGAGCGTATATCTTCTGCATGTGTTATAAAACAGGTCCCAGGTACCCAACAACAAATTCAATAAAGAATTCAGGGTTACAGTCAATTTAATTAGGCTGGGTTAATTCAGGGCTAACACTTTACTGTACTGTTCATAAGACTAGATAAGCTTAATAGAACACTGTTATAGAGAATCACTGTTCCCTGCATTAGAACACTATATAGAACACTATTATAGAGAACAGACATGGCCCCCTAATCACTGTTCCCTACATTAATTCAGTTCTCTAGGATAGGGAACAGTGATTAGGGGATCATGTCTGTTCTAAATAATAGTGTTCTATGTAGTGTTCTAATGTAGGGAACAGTGATTAGGGGCCATGTCTGTTCTCTATAATAGTGTTCTATATAGTGTTCTAATGTAGGGAACAGTGATTAGGGGTCATGTCTGTTCTCTATAATAGTGTTCTATATAGTGTTCTAATGTAGGGAACAGTGATTAGGGGACCATGTCTGTTCTCTATAATAGTGTTCTATATAGTGTTCTAATGTAGGGAACAGTGATTAGGGATCATATCTGTTCTCTATAATAGTGTTCTACATAGTTCTTCAGTGTAAGGAATAGTGATTGGTCAGGTCATGTAAGTTTTCTTATACACTTCTAAAACCTAAGAATAGCTCAGGCAGTTTGCACTGAAGTCCCTGTAGGTACTGAATACTAAGACTCAGTATGTAGTAAGCCGGGGATTTTGAGGGACTAATCCCGTTTCCTGTGATAGTGTTTATGTAGAGCTCTACTGTAGGGTATAATGATTAGGGCCGTTTCCAGTGTCTGATAACGCTGTGTGGTAACAGCAGGTGTGGTAATGCAGATTGTGTGTGCTCATCTTACGTATATGAGGTTCTCTCTGTAGCGCCGGCGCAGGTTTTCGATGAACGCTGCTTCGCTGGTGTAGTTGTCCAGCAGCAGGAAATCCTGCACCCCCACCCGATCCCTCGCTGACAGACCACTCTCCATCACCAACCGCACTACGCCCTCCACCTCCACCTCCTACAGAGAGAGAGAGAGAAGAGAGAGAGAGAGAGAGGAGAGAGAGAGAGAGAGAGAAAGAGAGGTGGCTATTAAGTCCCATTACTTGTTAGCTACACTGAAGCTCCAGAGCTAAACTAAAGAGCTAAAACCTTCAGACACCTGTCATCTCTTAGCTGAGTGACATCTGGGATAAATGGAAAATGTATTGTCTGCTTTTTTGGCTGAAGAACTGCTTTAAACAGGTACTCCTTTACGATGGTGACACACTTCACTCGTATTGATTGTTGCATTTGTCTTGACTTATCGTTATATGAAAAGGTAAAGTTCTACCAGCCACTGCAGTGATGTACACACTTTTTCACACAGCATCTCCAGACATTAGTCAAAGACAAGGAAGAGAGTAACAGATAATGAGGAACGCTGAATCCAAAACAAGCACAATCGATCAGCAGATGCCAAAGTGAACGGAAACGTGTGATAAAACGAGTCCAGACCGTTAGTATTAAACTCCGCCCTTAATAAAGCAGCAGATTAACCAAACATGACGTCATTTGCATAATGCTAACTGGTGGTTTGCTGTCTTCATTATTAATATTGGTAACTGTAGCACTCATTACTAATTCTTCATTATTACCACAATATTTAATTATTATTGTTATTGTTCACAATATTAGCATTTACTGGTCTGTTTCTTTAAAGGGACCATTTACTTTGGTAAATTACTTTATTTTGTTTGCCTGTCTGTAAAAAATAAAAGGGAAAAAGTGTTTTTAATCACTACTAAAACAGCAAATGCTTATTATCTGTTTTGGATTTGCCAAACTTGAGAGATAATGAGGTTTTCTGTCTGTTTTCGAAAGTGTGTATCAGTAGGCATCTTAGAGATTTCATGCAAAATATGTATTAATTTTGAAATGTTAGATGATATCGGCATTAGAAATGGCTGTTATCTATAATATTTATTAGAAAAATGGAAATATTTAGCCAGGCAATTGGAAGATAAATGGATTGTATATACATATACTGTAAAGCAATATAATGGAAAGTTTTTGACTGGAGAAATAAAGCAATTACAAATAAATTTGGCAACATGTGACAGAATTTTGACACAATTCTCTCTTCTAAATAAATAAATAAATGAAGCAGGCAAGCAATCTTCAAAAACCATTACATAAATACGGCCTACAGTGCATTAAAGGAGCATCATTTTTGCACATCATGTTCGGAGAATGCTGTAAATTGAGTCATAAGACGTGTCACAAACTGCAATATTAATTAATTCTCTTTATATTCTGCTAATATATTTTTTCTCAACTTTAGTTCTATCAGTGTGCTATGGAAAAGTCAGGGTAGCCAGATGAAGGAGAAATATGTATAAAATATGTCGCACACATGAAATTGGTGTACAAAAATGATAACGGCAGTACTTTTTGGAGAAAGTGACATCATTACATACAGGACCTTTTACCACTTTAAGTCAATTTGATGGAAACTAGCAGACAAGCTGCCAGCAGCACAAACTGTGAACTTTTTATGCATTAATGATGTATCACTAGCAAAATGCACTGGGAAACGCAGCCAGCGATGTAATGAAGCTCAGTAGGAACGAATGTGGAGGACTTTGGTGTGCCTTTCTTCAAGTCTGCACATGATGGTATGATCACAGAGTCCAGCGCTTTCACTGGCTCACTGATATCTGTGTAATCCTACACCACACACTGTATACACTGTCAACACACCACAGATCTGTGTGTGTGTGTGTGTGTGTGTGTATGTGTGTGTGTGTGTGTGTACACACATGTAAACCTCTCACACACGAGCAGGCAATGAGCAGAGCAGAGAACAACACACCACACCATTCAGAAATAACAGCACATTTTGAACACACACAAACACACAAATATAAAGCCTCATAAATCCCTCCTTTATATTCTCCCACTTACAGCAAATACCATCTAACTCTGTTTCTGTTTCTTTCTTATATGCACTAGGCCAAGGGTCAGCAACATGCGGCTCTTTTACTGCTCTGTTGCAGCTCCACAGCAGAATTAGGTTTTTAGGTAATAATAAAATAACCGTCCTTTGCAGTAAAAAAAGCTCTGCTGATCGTTCAACACAGTTTTAACACTGAGTGGTCTTAAACACTGGAGTTATTGTAGCCTATATCTGCTATTTCACCCTTTAACCCTGAAAGTTGGCACACAGACTGCTGGTCACCATAGCAACGCAGACAATCTCACGTCACTAGTAGCTAATGAAACGGCAAACACAGAGATTCAAGACGAACATCAATTTGGAGACTAATGAACTTACTGATACGTTTAATCTGCAAAGAAAAACTGTTAAACACTAAAAAGTACCAAAAGGTGAAGTGAGTTTCCTGTTCACCAGCTTTTTGTTCAAATTTCCCCATTCCACCTTAACTGGTGCAGTTGTTACATTCTGGCACCTGGGGCACCATTTAAAGTTGAACGGGAAAATTCGAACAAGAAGCTGGTGAACGAGAAGCGACTTCAGCCTCGTAAAAAATCGAAGAAGCTATTCCACTTTTGTTTCCTGCCAGAGATGTGAGAAAAGCAGCTATAGCTCAGCTAAAGCTTAAAGCAGAGCAAAGGAAGTCTGTGTTTTGGTTTATAATATATATATAAGTCTATATCGGGACATCATATTTCCAGCCAAGATGGTTACTTCAATAAAATGGACATATAATGTTGTGGCTCCCAAGGTGGTTTGATTTTTGTTGAAAAATCAAAATGGCTCTTCTTAACTTTTGGGTTGGTGACCCCTAACCTAGGGTGTAAACCTCTGATCACGATTCAGCTCAATTACAATTCTTTAGGAAACGATTCAGTGCGTCATGAAATTTAAAAATTCCCCACAATTCCATTTGATTATGATTCTTTGGGAAATGAATCAATGAATAACGAAATCGCAGATTTTACCACAGTTATTTGATTCTCTTCAATTATGATTCTTTAGGAAATAATTCAATGCATCATGAAATATCAAATTTCACCACAATTCTTTTATGATTCTTTAAAAAATGTAGCCAAATTGCATCATAAAATCCTAAATTTCACTACAAATGTATTCAGTTCTATTCAATTATGATTCTTTTGCAAATTATTCAATATGTGATCAAATTCAATACATGATTCAGTTGGATTTCATAATTATTTATGATTCAGCATACAGAATATTAAGAATATGCTATTCATTTTTCTTGATTCAAAACAGCCCCAGAATTTCTGGGGGGGGGGTGCGGATTTGTATGATTGAAGCTGATTCTTCTATTTTGGACAAAAAAGTGCATAGTTTATTAAATATTATTATGACAAACTTTTACATCCCAAAATTGCTGCAGTTGAATCGCCGCCCTCAGACTGATGCATCTTTACACCACTACGACACACACACACACACACACACACACACACACACAGGCATCTATAAACAATGGATTAAAATGAGCAGTGGGGGGAAGCCTGAGTTGTGTTCCTGAGAACAGGCGTCGCCAGGGAGTTGTTAAAATCTCGTTAAGCTCGTTAAGGTCGTCAGGGCACTGTTATCTCCGCCTCGTTAAAGGAAAAGAATCTCTGGAACAACAGTGGAGCTCAGCCAAGGAAATCCTACATCCACACACACCACACACACAGCTAGAGCATTGTTCAGTCCTGAACGTCTACAGGTGGCCTTCCTGTCTCCCAAACACACACACAGCACATATCAAGTAAACAGATACACACACTGACATGCACAGAATGAAAACACCACACACTTCTTCCTCATACACACACACACACCTACACACCTACACACACACACACACACACACACATACTTCCTTCATGTTTGAGGTCAGATTTTCCACTGTTTCAACCTAAGCATATTACACTGTCAGTGTCTGGGCAAAATATAACTGCCTCTACACTCAGCCTGCAGGGCTGCCATGCTGCTATGCTGTGTGTGTGTGTGTGTGAGTGTGTGAGTGTGTGTGTGTGTCCTGACTTTGCCGGGAAAAAACAGGTCTACACTCTTAAAAATAAAGCTGCCAGAAAGGGTAGTTTGAATGATGCCATAGTACAGTGCTACCCAAAGTGTGGCCTGTGGGCCAAAGTTTGCCTGTGACATCATTTGGTTTGGCCCACCAGAAGGTTCCCCTAACGCCACTCCTTTCACCCAATCAGAGAACAAACATTGATACACTGAGTGGAACATTCTAGAGAATTAGTAGCACAAAAAATGCTCAGACTTAAGATACTGTAAAGAACTGTTGCGATCTGTTTAAACCCAAGGCATTAACTAAAATAGTAATAAGCTATATATATATATATATTATATATATATATATATATATATATATATACACACACACACACACACACACACATACATATACATATACATATATAGCTTATTACTATTTAGTTAAATATATCATAATTTATAGGGTACTGTCTATTGGGAGGCATTGGTCCCAAACCAGTATTTTTAAAGTATTTTTTTAAAGTATTTTTTAAGTAAAAGTTACAAAGTACAGTGTAATCTCTAAAATACATATGTTAAAAAGTAGATTTGAAATATATGCATAATTGCATAGACTAGAACCTCAAAGTAATGTTTCCAACATCTTGTGGAATCCATGCCATGGAGAGTTGAGGCTGTTCTGAGAGCAGATGGAGTGTACTCAGTGTTAATATAGGGTTCCTAATCAAGTGCTCAGTGAGTATATATACATACTGGACATACTGTTATTATATTCTTTATAATGCATAAGGGACATATTACTATTACATTATATATAATACATACGGTTCATATTATTAATACATTACGTATAATACAAATAGGACATACATTCTGAACATACTATTATATTATGTATAAAACAACCCCATTTCCAAAAAAGTTGGGACACTGTGCAAAATGTAAATAAAAACAAAATGCAATGATGTGCAAATCATTTGAACCCTATATTTCATTGAAAATAGTACAAAGACAACAAATCAAATGTTGAAACTGAGAAATGTTATTGTGTTTTGAAAAATATTTGCCCATTTTGAATTTGATGCCAACAACATGTTCCAATAAAAGTTGGGGTGGGGGCAACAAAAGGCTGGTAAAGTTGTGTAATGCTAAAAAAAACACCTGGTGGTTAATTGGCAACAGGTCAGTAACATGACTGGGTATAAAAAAGCATCTCAGAGAGGCTGAGTCTTTCAGAAGTAAAGATGAGGAGGGGTTCACCACTCTGTGAAAGACTGAATGATCAAATAGTGCAACAATTCAAGAATAACGTCTCTCAACATAAAACAGCAAAGAACTTTTCATCATCTACAGTACATAATCACATTTAAAGATTCAGAGAATCTGGAGAAATCTCTGTATGCAAGGGACAAGACAAAAACCAGTATCCAGTATTGGCTGACCATGATCTTTGGGCCCTCAGGTGGCACTGCATTAAAAACAGACATGATTCTGTAGTGGAAATCACTGCATGGGCTCAGAAACACTTCTGAAAAACACTGTCTGTGAAAACAGTTTGTTGCTGCATCCACAAATGCGAGTTACAACTCTAAAATGCAAAGAAGAAATCGTATATAAACAGGATCCAGAAATGCTGCCACCTTCTCTGGGCCTGAGCTCATTTAAAATGGAAGTGGAAAAGTGTCCTGTGGTCCGACAAATCAAAATTTGAAATTTATTTTGGAAATCATGGACACTGTGTCCTCTGAGTTAAAGACCACTCAGCTTATTATCAGTGCACAGTTCAAAAGCCAGTATTCATAATGGTTTAGGGGTGCACTAGTGCACATGGCATGGGTGACATGAACATCTGTGAAGGCGCCATTAATGCTGTATGATATATACATGTTTTGGCAACATATGCTGCCATCCAGATGACGTCTTTTTCAAGGAACACCTTGCTTATTTCAGCAAGACAATGTCAAACCACATTCTGCATCTATTACAACAGCATTGCTCCGTATTAAAAGAGTCCAGGTGCTAAAATGACCTGCCTGCAGTCCAGTCCTGTCACCCACTGAAAACATTTGGCGCATTATGAAATGAAAAATACAACAAAGGAGACCCAAAACTGATGAGCAGCTGAAATTTTATCAAACAAGAATGAGAAAACATTTCACTTTCAAAACTACAGCAGTGTCTCCTCAGTTCCCAAACGCTTACAGAGTGTTGTTGAAAGAAGAGGTGACGAAACTCAGTGGTAAACAGACCCCCGTCCCAACTTTTTTGGAACATGTTGTTGGCATCAAATTCAAAATGGGCAAATATTTTTCAAAAAAACAACAATACAATTTCAAAAAAACAAGTTTCAATTGTATATATAAATATATGCACTTTGGACATATTAGCTTTACATTATTTGTAATACAAATGGGACATATTTATGACCTCATGTCTTGACATTGTATAAAAACAAAAACAAAACATACACAGTTCTAAAAATGGAATTCAGATTACAACCAAATGATCCCAAACAGTTTTGGCATCAATCACCACACCCCTAATGCACATTCCATCTCTCTCTCTCTCTCTCTCTCTCTCTCTCTCTCTCTCTCTCCCCATTAGCAGTGTTTAAATTGGCTGAACTTCTATGTACCAAACATCTTTCCCTCTCTCCTCATCTCTCTCTCTCTCCTTCTATGTCTCCAGTATCTCCCGTTCGCTCTCTCTAAAACATTCCACAGTTCTCGTGAGAAATAAGGATTGTGCTCTTATCATATTTTACTTTATTCAGAGGTGCTTTGAATATTTCCTCTAAAGCTTAATGCCAGGCAGCCTCAGGTTCAGCACTCAGCAGAGCCGTTAGAAGTGTTTGCATACAAAGCACATCTTCTGCTCAGGGACACTCAGCGAACACATTCAGAGTAAAGAGGGGACATTTAGTGGCTTTAACGATGTACTGCAGTATAACACCGTAAATGTACATATAAATTTATAAACGACGAGGTTCTAGATCAGTGCGTAGTGATGGACTCAGCAGGTCGCGGGGACCGGGACATATTTTGATCTTTTTTGTTACAGATCATCACGTGAATGTATTTAACATGTGACTGATGTGCCAGATCCACTAAAACAGGTGCCAGAACCAATCTAAGAGGAGCCGGATCTGGACCTGGCTTGTTCTGGCACAATTTAAGCCATGCATATGAGAGACCTATCAGATAGCTGATGATGTCGTTCCATATAAAGTGACATGAAGCCACATGTCCACCATACTGGTACTCCCTCTCTATGCTGTGAAATGAATGGGTGTCTGAGGAGGTGATGTAAATATAACAAGTAAAGACAACAGAAATACTATCATGTGCCACTTCAGCTCACTGCCTCATTAAAAACACAACTGATTCAGCTCATCAGCTAATGAGTAAGGCCTTCATGAACTGAATTCAGAGTGTTAGATGAGGGTAAACGCTAATCTCTGCAGCACTTTGGCCTGGAGCATCCCCAGTTTGACATGCCTGATCCAGCATTACTCGAAGAAGAGACAGATGAGGAGCAGGGATCAAAACTATGAAACATACTTTACTAGCAGCTCTACAGAAGCTTTTTTCTGATGTGGAACAAAACCCGCTCCTCTCCACTGCAACCCTACTCGATCCAAGGTAACTAATGTATCATAGCTAGCTAATGCATGTCATTTAAATCAGCTTGATGTTAATCATTTCACTGTTAAAGATACACTGCAATCATTTACACTAACAACTACGTAATTCTAAGTTATCAGTCAGTACTAAAACATTCGTACTTGGTCTGAAACACATGGTATCAAAGCATCCCTAATATTTAGTTACAGAGCTTTTGATACTCTCATACATACAAACATGAACATATTAATGGAGTATAGATGTGTTTGTATGCATACATGTGTGCCAAGCATGTATTCTATATATTGTTATCTGACATTTGTTTTTGAGAATCCATAATATGGTACTAAAAAAGTTCGAGAGAGAAAGTAATCTGGGATGACTGTCAACATTTTTTGGGAGGCTTCTGAAACAACTTGGTCTGGAGCCCTGATATGATACTAATAACTCTGTTAAATGTGGTCACGACAGAAAATGTCCATACTGTATCATCCCTACAGCGAAGGCTCCTCTGCAGGGCACAATGTTTTATACGGCTGGAGAAAGTCACACAGCAGGGGAATCCCTCTGGTTTAGTGTGACCACAACAGAATCTGAAGGATGCAGGCCCATATTTTTTTCATTATGTATCATCATGCAAAAAAAAGAACAGCAGCCTGAGAACTCCGGTGCTACATTTTTATAGCTCTCATCTCTCTTGTCTATTGCTTTTAGAGCAATATTATGGTTAAAAACAAAAATGGATTTGCAATCCGCTTCTGTAAACCAAGCAGCATGATGCTAACTGCATGCCTACCATGGTGCTAATTGCCTCCAAACACATTAAGCTGCAAAGTAATCTCTCGTCTGACACTGTATGACACACTGTTTTCTATAAACATGACCTCAGGTCTCATAACTAATACTGCATTTATGACAACAAGGAACCGGCTTGCTTGTTTAGCTGCTTAGTACATATAAAAGGATCTTAATCTTTATATTGGAATTTGGAAAGTTATTTGCTTAATTACTTAACCTTTCAATTTTCCAGGTATCCCCATATATTTAGTGATATCAGATACAAGTAGCATGAAAAAACTAAAATATGCAGAAACCAAAGTAGTACTTCATGTTGTATGGGTGCTGCCATGCTGAAGTGACATCAGTTGCAACTCAGAGAAGTGAAGTTCTTGAGAAAGTCTGACTTTCCAAGTGGGAATTCCGAGCCGGATGACCAGTCAAGTAGATGTTTCCCCACATGGACGTTGGAATCTTCACAGCTCACACTTGGTCAGGAAAACAGCATAAATACAGTACTAGCTGTCATCTCCAATTCTAAATTTTGTCTATATTTTTGCAGTTTGCATGGTGCTAATTGGTGGGGCCTACGCTTCTATTACTTTAGCTACATTAGCCTCGTAGCTTGAGCACAAAACTACTTATAATTTTGCTAAACTAGGTTTTACCCTGGACGTCCGTTCAGTTCTAAAGCACTTCACGTTTCCATGAAACATCCATCCATGAATCTGTGGTCAATCTGCACGGCTCAAACACCCTCCTCAGATTTCCCACACTTTAGTGTGTTCGATTTTTCCAGCTATGAGCTTGTTTTACAGTAGAGGACTGTGGGTAGCGTAGTCCAGTGGGCTGCTGTGGGATTTGGCATTGGGCCACTGAACGTGGGCCTCCCTGGCTTTACAAGGCTGTGGCTCTTCCATATAAGGGCCGTCTCTCCGCTCCACGGCCCAGAGGAGAGCGGGCCGGACTGGGCATGGCACGCTGCCCCCGTCCCGAGTGGGCAGAGGAGAGAGCTACAGAGGGGATTGTGGGAAATGTCCCAAAAGTGCAGAGTTGAGAAAGAGCAGAAATCATCACCAGACGTCCTAGAAGTAACGGCATGAAGGGTGATGGAGCAACGTCTGAAAGCTGCAGCACACATGCTAACACACACACACACACACACACACACACACCCACACACACCCCTAACACAATGTTTCTACAAAGTACTGTAAGCTCTGCATACTTTCGTACTGTAAGGCTAAAATTTGCACACTTTTTGTAGTGTAAGGAAAACTTTTGCCCACATTTTGTACTGTAAGGCTACTTCTGCACACTGTTTGATATTGTTGTGATACTGTAAACATGTAAATATTTTGTATATATTGTCTTATACATCTGTAAATGGACCAAACTGCATATTTGCCTATGTATCATGACAATAAAGCCGAATATGATTGAATCCTTCAGAACTTCCTTCGCAGTTTCACAGCATTCATCAACATATTCTGCCCAAGTAGGTCTAAAACTGCAGAAACACACAGTTTTAAATGTAAATAAAAGCTGCCTTACCCTGCCGAGGTACCTCATCCTTCTTTCTTCCACTTTCTTTAAGAATCCCTCGTTCTGGAGTCCTTCAGTGCTAACCCTCAGAGCTTGTTTGACAGGCCGTCACTCGCGAGTCTCGGAGCGTGTAAGCGTGCCCGTGTGCGTCTGCTCAAGTTCAGTTCTTCACTCCAAAACACGCCGTCACACCCAACGACAAACCTTTCTTTCTTTCTTACGTGCTCAGTTCCTTCATTTTACAAGTTTCATTTATTTTTCCATAACCTCCCTTTGTCTCTCGCCCTCCCTCTCTCTCTCTGACATGAACTTGTTCTCACATACACAACCTAAAACCATGCATATCACTGAAACCCAAACATGCTCTCGCCATCCATCTGTCCTTTCTGCTCCCTCCTTCTTCTCTCCCTCGCTCTCCCCTTCTCTCTCTCCTGACGTGCTAAAACAGCTGAGATGAGTCAGTCTCCCAAAAAGAAACAAAAAGGCAGAAAGAAAGAGTCAAACGACCAAGGATCACTGGGACGAGCGAGAGAGAAGGAGGACATGGGTAAAATTAGAGAGCGAGAGGAAAAAAAAGGAAAAGAAATGAGAAACAGATTCCGGAAAAATCCACTAAGCGTGGTGGCCAACGTCCCATCGCAACGACTGTATCCAAAAGATCCAAACAAAAAAATCACATGACTCAGCCTGAGAGCATTTTTTTCCCTTTACTTTTTCACCCCTCCCTCGCTCGTCCTCACTCTCCCTCCACCTCTCCCTCTCTCTCTCTCTCTCTCCTTCACATGCTGAGACACATTGGGAGCCAGAGATGAGCAGAACCACCGCAGGAGAGAAAAAGATTAATGTGACTCCTCTGAAAAATTACAGTAACTCTCCCTCACTCGCTCTCGCTTTCTCTCCAGTTTAGGTGATCAAATTCAAGGTAATATTTCATATTTCGTAACACGTCACTAAGTTGCAAGTCTTGACTCCCGAGTCAAGTACCAGTTGAGTCGAGGCTCGATTCAAGTCCTGAGTCAGTACAGGTAAGTCTCGAGACAAGTCCAGAGTCCTAAACTTCAAGTCTTAAGTAAGTGAGTAAGCAATTCAACCCTGAACACCAACAATGATGGTGACAGTAATATATATATATACATACATACATACATACATACATACATCATCTAAACCGCTTATCCTTCTGGGTCGCGGTGGGAAAAGAATTCTCAAAGTTACTACTGAACTTATAAAAAAATTGGAGTTGAAAAACATTTTTGATCATTTTCTGAAACGTTGGGAGCACAGGCCTAAAAAACTAGCTCAGCAAACTAAAACCAAGCACTAGTTTGAGTCGAATTTAGACGACAAACAACAGAAACAGAAAGCAAAAAGTCTGCTCTGAACAACGTATTCAGAAAACCCAGCAAGTACACTGAGCAGCTGAGTGGGCCTCTTTTTTTCCGTTCCACCTTAAACAGTTCAGCAGTCAGGCGCCAGAATGTAACTGCCCCACCATTTAAGGTGGAATGGAAAATCTGAATATGAAGCTGGCCAATAAAAAACTCAGCTTCAGCTTTGTGGCAAGTTCTCCTGTTAACTCCTTCACTAGTAAGACTGGAGTTGAGGTGCAGAGTGAAGGCTTATTGATGCTGTTGATGCTTCACTTGTTTCTAGGTTATGAAGGTGAATTCTCACACTAGCATAAAAAACAGACATTTGACAGTGAGCACGATTACATGCACTCAATAATCCGAAACTACCATGCAAACTGCAGAAAATCAGATTTTATTATTAATCCGATTAACGCGTTTACATGCACTTGAGATAATGGGGAAACTCCAGGTCTTCATGAGCCAAGCAGTAATCAGATTTCTGCTTTGCAACCAGCCAATAAACTCACAGAAGATGACGTGATGTAAACGTAATGCAAAACTCAAACTTTATGCTGTGGCTTTTTAAAAAAATTAAAAAAAAAGACATTAAGCCACTTTACCTGAAAATATGAACATACATCATCTAGAACATGAAGAATTTTTATATCCTTCTTTTCGTCTAGCCTGTAGTTGGTTTCATCGTCGCTCCAAAAAGTTTTTTTGCTGCATCTCATGGCGACGCTGCTCGCTTATTTCCGGTACCGCAGTCTGTTTTCACACGTGCAGACTGAGAAATCCGAAAGAAATCAGAGTAAGAGTTCACATGCACTGAGAAATCTGATTACTGAGCTAAAATCCAGCCCTCTTTATCAGATTTCGTAATCAGATTTCTAGACCTTACTCCGATCTTAGAAGTCAGAGTGTGCTGTTTACATTATCATTTGAATAATCAGATAACTTCAGAAATTCGATTATGATCAGATTATTGAGCGCATGTAAAGGCACTCATTGGTATGTATATTAGATTTTGATCTAATGCAGTTCTGGCATCGCTGCACCAGGAAACAAGTTCATTCACATCAAAACCAGCCAACTCCAGATGCCTCTCTGTGTTTCATCCACTTTGGTTCTCAGGTCTTTTCAAGTCATAAGGCTCAAGTCTAAGTCAAAGTTCATGTCATATGTGACTCGAGTCCAAACCTCTAGTGAATTTTACAAATACTTCACGGTATCATTTAGGGGTGCAACAATACATACACACAAAGGTGATTAAGTTAAAGAAAAAAAAGCCCTCCAATCAGAACCCCCGTAAGGGTACAACTGAATCCAAACCATGCCAGCAAAATGCTTCCCACAGCATAACAGAGCCACCAGACCCTCCTCACTGTAGGGGGTCAAGCATTCAGGCCTGCACTGTTCTGTGTATGCTGCACATGCACTCGCCCACTATTTCCACATCTCTGTGGACCAGCGATGATGGTTTTACACCACTGAACTTTCAAATGCACATTCGTCCTTGTAATGCGAGGTGCATGTACTGCAGCCCAGCTACAATATCTCAGACACCTGAAGAACAGTTGCTCTTAGATATCGCACTAATGTACGAGCATCATGGTCACTACATGTGCGCTTTCAAACAAAATTTCCAACCCTGTTTACAGTCTAAATTCAGATGTCACTGTTCCCATTAGGTATTATTTATAGTCTGGGAAAGTTACAGTCAGCACCACCCTGCTACTTAAAATAGCTTCACCGCTAAAATTCAGACAAAAGCAATGCTACAACCACACTAATGGGACTAATAGCTACACTACTTATAGCACAGCTACTGACCAGCACTGGATTTGTTGCACATAAACAAAGTCTTTATGGTAAAGTCTGTTCACTTAGCAGCCATCTTTGCAACAGCACAGTTATTTACAGCCATACGAGACCAAGCTCCTCTCTCTTTGAATAGGGAGAGACCAGCATACTCAAAACTGATCAAATTACTGTTTCAAAAACAACCAGTAAAATCGGACAAAAACTTCAAAAATAGTTTGAAGCGTTTGCGCACAAAAATTGTGATTTTTCATGTTGGTCGGGCTGCTGCACTTGTGTAGTTCTCTACAATGAGGGGGGGTTGCACTTCCTAGCGCCACAATACCGTCAACCTTTCTCCACTCACTTTGTAACCAGCAAGCTGATTGGCTCTTACTACTTTCTCCATAAATGGTGCCATGTTTACTGTTACAAGCTTTCCCCTTCATATTGTAACCAGTGACCAGTCTCCTCCTTAACAATGTCTCTGACATAAATCAGAGTGTGATCGATTTGATAAAATCAGCCAATAAGCTCCCAGATTTATTGTTATCACATGATAACATGTTCTAACACAAAATAAGTATAAAAAAATAAATAGAGGTAATTAACAAACAGCAGCAGAACCACTTAGAATTCTGGTTAGCTTCACCCACCACACCACAACATTTCCACTATTTAAGACATTGAGTTTCTTCTGTTTTTGACTATTGAGAATTGACAGTGATACCCAGTAAAGTACTGCTTAACTAAAATCTTATCTGATTATTCAAATGGTCATGTGAACAGCATCTTCTGATTTCTTAGATCAGAGTAAGATCTAGAAATCTTATTAAGGAATCTGATAAAGAAAGCTGGATTTTAGCTCAGTAATCAGATTTCTCAGTACATGTAGACTCTTACTCTGATTTCTTTCGGATTCTTTTCGGCCCATATGCGGAACAGACTGCTGTACCGGAAATAAGCGAGATGCAACAAAACACTTTTGGAGCGACGCTGAAATCAAATACATTCTTAACGAAATTAAAAATATTCTTCATCTTCTAGATGACGCATGTTCATATTTTCGTGATTTTTTTTTTAAAAAAAAGCTCAGTCATGGAGTTTGAGTTACGTCACGTCTTCTTCTGTGAGTTTATTGGCTGGTTGTAAACCAGAAATCTAACTACTGCCCGACTCGTAGACCTGAAGCTTCCCCATTATCTGATTAGTCAAGTGCATGTAAACATGTTGATCAGATTACTGACAAAATCAGATTTTCTGCAGTGATCGGATTATCAAGTGCATGTAAACACACTCACTGTCTCTTAAATCAGTGTTTCTCCATCCTGGACCTGGAGACCCACTGCCCTACACCTTGCAGTGTTTTCTTTGATTTCAACACATCTGACCCAAATACTCAGTGCATTAACAGCCCATAATTGGGTGAAAGTGTTAAAGTGTTAAAGTGTTAAAGCAGGAAAAGCACAAAAATGTGTGGCCCTCCAGGAGCAGGGATGAGAAACACTGCCTTAAATGACATATAACTGAACTCAGACTCCACTTCAGACTTCAAACAAAAACAAACAAACCTGAGTACATTAGGGCCACCAACCCGAATGCAGTAACTTCTCCAGCCTTACATACCTGACTTTACCGTCAGTTTTACTACAGCAATTCACAGTCATTCCTGCAATGCTGTTCTCCCACGGCTAACAGCGACGTCAGGTTCGACACGACGTCAAATGACAAACCTTCATTACAGAAAACCCTTCAGTTTGATGGACAGAAAGAGGCAAAACAACCTGAAACTGTAGGCTTGCACACAGTTTGGTTGGCAGGTACCCTAGCTATTATAGCTGAAGCTATATTCCAGCTAATCTATAGCTAATCTACAGCTAACCTACATTCCAGCTAGTAAGTTACAAATCGCATCCCCTGAAAACTTAAAGTTTCAGCTGTATTAGTTATTGCAGCAGCTAATTTATGTGCTATATAAACTACAGAACAACCATTTTAAACTGTTTTGCTTCTTTTTTTTTAAACATCATATTTACTGCACGTGGCGCTTCAGTTCAGTTTTTTATATAATGATATAAAGGCTGGTTATTTGAACCTGAAAGGTTTTTATGTGTTGGTTTGCTTTTTTGAAATGTAATTCAGCTAATAAAACTCTACTAAAGACTCGAGACTCAGCTCAGACTCACATGAATCGACTTGTGAACATCTCTGCTATAAACATGCCTTGTTGGATCAGAGGGTCTGAGTGATACTAGTGTCTGCATACCAAAGCACTGCCAGACCACAGTGTGGTGGAAAGACACTGTATTACTATTTATAATCATCACCATCATCATCATCAGTTATGAGGCCATGGCAGCTGGTTAATTAAAGCAACGTGTGTTTGACAGATGGTGAGGTGCCCACACACACACACACACACACACACACACACACACACACACACTCGCAAAGGCACTCACACACACACACACACACACACACACTCGCAAAGGCACTCTAAATTATGCATTGAGATGAATGCTGATGATTGACA